ATTTTTTATTTGTATATTCAATTCGACGTGGATAGGATACATATACATAGCTTAGTTGTTTCTTTTTACATTCTCCTGTTAGTTACATATGTACTGTATTTCGGTAGCGATTGACAATCATGCAGCACATTGCGAATATTCGTTCATTTCTTTATGCATACAATCATGAATTATCGTCGTTTGATGATGTAAATGTTTGGTCGTGTAACAGCGTACGTTTATAATAAAAAGCATATACATTTTTTTCACGTGTTCAAATATTATACATATACATTTTAGCAAAACATATAAAAATGCGACGGTATTTACTATAGTGTTTTCTAAATCGGGTTTATAAACGTACAATATATATATATATATATATATATTATATATATATATATATATATATATATATTTGTATTTAATGGATTGTTTGGACAGTACAAATTGCATTTGCACGTTTGTGCATCTACTTAAAATCCAAGATTTATTCTATGAATAAATCCGAATGCATTTTAAATAACAAGGATGGTCTCTTTTATAATCTCAATGATAGCGATTAATATGAAATAATTATACATTATATTCAGGTACAAGATATGCATTTTATGTACATAGGGTGAGGATGAAGAAACTAATTAAAACTGCGATTTCGCGTGCTGTTTATATGAAATAGGTTTTTTGGTGTTATAATTTATTCAGCTATATAAATATATATTCTAAATTTTATGGAAGCTTATTATCACCATGTTAAAGTTTTTATTATTTCACAATTGCTAAAAAATTGTTTATCAATCAACAAAATTTCTATAATGGAGATCTATAGTGTACTAATATAGATAATATATCTATGAGTAATAATTATGTTATCTTTTTATTCGACGAAATAAATATATTTCTATAATAGAAAATATGATAAATCACTACCTTTGTGAATTGATTTTGCATAGCTTGTACCTCTATTTACTGCATTCATGAAGAAAGAAATTTTAATAATCAAGAAAGTAATCGATATAATTAATAGACAATATTTCTTTTAGTCTGTTTTCATAAAAGATATAATAATATTTATAAGTTATATAACAAATAGGACTAGTACTTAATACAAGATACATCACTACATCACTACTTATCTTATTTAAAAATGGTATGGTTAAAAATGTATATGTTAAATTATATATATACTAAATTAGTAGTAGGAAGTAATGTAGAAATGTGAACGAATAGGGAATTCTTAAAATATTTGCCTATTTCTATTCTTATATTAAATAAATCATATTACAATGTGGTTGATACTTTTATATCATTAATCAATGTCGACTCTATCACTTCTCAACTATTTTTTTCATCAAAACTAAAATCTGAGGATAACAACACGAAGATATTTAAAAAATTACAACAAAATATGCAAAAGAAATTGCATTGTAATATACATGAGTTAATGTTGATTTATATATGGGTCTGCCAATTTAATTTTTTTAAATGGAAAATTTTTTGCGTTAACTTTAGTGTAAATTTATCATTAAAAAGAATCCAATTTTATTTCAAAAGATATTGCACATTTTTTGTATTATGTATGTTTCAATTGTATACACGTTGTATATATCGTATTTTGAATTAGGAAATTCAATTATGAACTTTACACTTACATTCAAAGACTTAATCAAATATTATTAAACAAACATTTTTTTGAGGAATAGGAAGGGGAGATAATTCCATCGATATAATATTTTTAAAGATGATTCCATTGAATTAACATGCTTGCACTGTACTTATTATGTTTTTTAAATTGTTCTGATATCTAGTGCAGAAAATATATATATGAATAAGCATGTGCTGTAGCACTATTTTAAACTCATCGTCTTGATATCCTATTAGAATGACTTATAACAGACCACCAATTGTATCTGATTATAATCAGATATAACATAATCACAAAAATAGGTTCTGGAATATCCTCCCTTCTGAAATATTCCAGAGTATGATGATATCTATATAATTTGATTTCAAATTCGACATTATCGATATCCATATGTGTATAATATTCATTGAAACAGTGCAGTTACATCCCAAATCTTAATAACGCGATCCTGTCCGATAGTCAACAATCTTCTCTTAGGAGCATCCAAATCCATCCCAATGATACTGTGTTTGGCATCATGGAAAGATGCTAGGGATAACTGGCTATATAAATCAAAAATAAATCGTTTATTACATTCATCTTATACTTCAATATCTCTAAGCAAGACGTGACTTACTTCTCTGATTTAAGTTGTATATGACATTGATCGCAGACTCTCACTTCGAACTCGAAACCCATCGTTGGTATCGGTATCCGTTGCGACGTGCAGCGGGCACATAATGCGCGGCCGCAATAGCGACAATGGTGCTGCCTCAATCCTAATTGTCGTTGATCCATCATCGCTTTTATATTCCAGAAAAATGGTCTCCCACAAGCCTAAATTCATCAGTTTTAAATCGACATCGAAAAGTAGCAAGACATTTAAGATTAAAGATCTTGCATAAACATACCTGACAGATGTCAGATTCAACCCATGCTGCAGTTTCTTTCCTATTTGCTGCCATATTCCAACAGACAATTACGCCATCTTCGCCTCCGGATAAAAGCAAACGCTCATTACTCGCATAACATAGTGCTGTTACTTTGTTACTACAAGAAAATTAGAGCATTTTAAAAAATAATTAAAATATTTCCGATACATAAAAAGTCAGAATTAGAATAATTTTTGTGTGTATACTCACTGGTGTCCTTGTAATTCATAAGCAGTGCCTTGACGACCTCCAATGTCCCAAACAATAATGCTTTGATCAAAACTTCCAGAAAACAACAATTGTTTTTCAAAATCCCATGCTAATGTATGGATACTTCCTGTATGTGCCTTTAATGTAGTAATGAAGGTAACACCATTATTATCCAGCTTTAACATTGCTATCTGACCAGAATAATCTCCTACGAAAGCATGTTTGGATTGGGCATCAAATCTGTATATGCGAGTTAAGCTTCTCATAGATTTTATGATTAGATATTATGATTAGATGTTATAATAATATATATTGCGTCATATATATATGACGCACAATATATTATATCTAATCATAATATTTAATTGTGTCATATATGTATATATATATATATATATATATATATATATATATATTACAAAAATGTTTTATTTATAGAAATATAAGACTTTGTAAAAGGATACTGTAGAGCAGTATACCATGCATCTGTTTGGTATGATCCTAATTTCTGTCCCGTTTCAGAACTGTGCAGTTGAAATAATTTATCGCGACCTATACTTAAAACCCATTCAGATTCTGGTGCAAAAATAATTCCTGTGACTCTTGCTTGATGCGCTAGATAATCACGCATAGCTGTCATTCGATTATAATCTTGTTCCAAGATAAATTCCTGTAATTATACAGTCAAATAATAAATACAAATTATATATAATTCTAACAAATAAAATAAAAATAACAATTTAACATACATTTATACTTCCATTATCCAAGCCTACAAATAATTGTCTGGTTTCTATGCAATAATACATAGAGGTAGCACCTGCTGGCATATATTGACAAATACTTGGCCAATAATGGCCAGAATCCCGCTTCAACCATACTCTAACTGTCCTATAAAAAAGAAAAAAGGTTGACAAAGAAACACATGATAAGAAAATAAAACTAAAACGACAGAGTTATTTTTCTATCATGCATCAATGATTTTATACTTGCTATACACAGTGGAAATTAATTATATTTTTACAAGGATATTTATTAATGATATTTTTTTAAAGTATATTATAAATATAAAGTATTTATTCATATAAAATCTAATATTTTATTACTTAACAATGTAATGTCAAAGCCTTCTTAGACTTAAATTTACAATTCACGATTCAAAACAGTTTTATAATTTTATGCATATGTTTCATATATGATGTATATTTTAATACAATTTTGATATACATTTATTTTGACAAAATGATAATTTCGAGATATTATAACAAATAATGATACAAGCATGTATATATATACATGTAAGACAGGAAGAGAAAGAGGAATATAGTGTTAAAGGTGTGTCCATTTATGAAAAGAATTGTGGATTTTAACATTTAGAGCGACGAATTTTGTTATAATCAAAACAGGATCAATATCGCAAAGACAATCTGTGTGAAGGAAAAAGTACAAAATATCGACGTACACGGGAAACGTCTAATTTCCAAAAATATATGCCCCTGCACAACTAGTACCTGTCATCGCAAATACTGATTACACCCTCTTCCCGCGGAATAATAATAGCGGCATTAACATCGTCGCTGCAGCCCTCCAATTTCGACAGAAGCACAGGTTTGCGATTGCTGCTGAACTTATCGTGATTTACCCCTGGGGCGGGCTTTATCTCCGCTGCCATCCTCGATTGTTTTCAACCACGCGCGAACGTAATTTCTTAATACTATTGTCATTTGACAGTTGTCAGACTTCTTATACTGGCCACAGTTCATGCAGTACGAAGATGTCTCCTTCCTCTTCGTAATTGGACTTGCACCATGGTGTAAATATATACACAGTAATGACACTTCATTGTTTTCTACAGACCAAGTTTCTACACGCATGCGTTCAGCTAAAGATATGGCTGTGCCTATCATTTTCAAGATCGATATTCACAGGCCATATTGTTAATATGGCTATCTATGATTGGTTTATAATATTTAAAAATTGTATTTAAGATGGCTTAAATATAAAAATGGAAAAAATTACAAATAGCCAAAAATTGATCAGATCGCGTTTTCTTTCATAAATGACATTAATAACAAGATACTATTGGATATGCTATTTAGCAACATAATTGATACAAGCTATTCTATCTTTTTTTAATAAAGAAAAAAATTATTAAGAATTAATGATTTTACAGGATTTAGTCATTTGTGATGACTTTGTCACTTTTTTGTGACATTTCATCATAAACATGGTGATGATATGAATGATAACTCAAATGTCATTCGATTTTTAATGAGCATATTACATTTTTTCGGAGACGATTTGCACTGTAATTAATATTTCAATTGTCAATTTTATTATATGCAAAATTGCCATACTGTATATTGTATTATAAAATTTAATCCCCGATTTCTTTCTCTCTTTCTTTCTTTCTCAAGCATAATGCGGCGGTGGCACCGTCAAATCTTGTAGGACAGCCAATTGTTCTTCTGTAAAGTGTTGCGCGTGACCATTCATTCCTGTCCAGCCATCATAATGTGTTCGTTTGAAATCACTCAAAGTTTTTCTTATTGTCATCTGTAATCCAAATATTTATTATAAGAAAACTGATTATATCTCATAGTATAATTATATATCTGAATTTGGACAATTACAAACGTATAAATATATTTCCCATAATATTTAAACATAAAAGTCGTAAAAGAATCGGAAGCAACAAAATTACCGGTATGGGTTGCGGATCATTCATATGAGAGCCAAGGTGTTCAAAGACTGAAGGCATATATTTCGACACATCATATGGATGAGCGTGAATGAAAGCGCATAGTCCGAGTACACCCGTATGACGTATACGTATCGCATCGATCTTTTCTGTATTTCTCGATGCATTATCAGTTTGGCTATTTTTCTTATGCAATCGCGTTCTCGCCTTTCTCTTGAATTCCTCCTAAAATCATATTAGATATTTGATCCTCAAACTTAGAATATTATTAAATTGCAATTATTTTATGGGACAAAAACTTTAAATAATATTTAACAACTTACCAATAGTTCTTCCACATCCGTGATGAATGTGCAATGCAACAATCCACCGAGTACTAGACTAGCTTTCTCCCTGACCTCTAAACGTTCATCCTCTAGTAATTGCAGAACGATATTCTTAATGCAATTCATCCATGATACGTTACTTAGAATTATACCCATGTTATGAAAGACTAATACTTGAAGAAATTCCAAGCTAGTGAATCTAGCAGACCACGACGAGTGTTCGGACAACGTCTTCACTGCGGTCAATGCTATTGGCATAACATCTGGCAATGTGAATGCTTGCGCGAGTGTTGCCAAAGTACATAAACATAATTTATTGAGCTCCTCATCCGCTTCTGATTGATCGCTTTCTAATTGACATATGATTGGAAAAATTTCATAAAATCCTGGTGTTGCACCATATAACGAACAAGATAGACTATTTATAATCCATTTGCAGACAGTTTTTAACAATCTCTTAGGGACTTCCTCTTTTTCCGTCTTGGATATTTCTTTTAATTCGTCGAATGAAACATTAGCAACTTTTTCTAATAAATTCTTTTCTTTATCTAGACTATTCAATTTAGTTGTATCATCGTCCTCTATAAGTTGTTTCAATTTTGGTACAATTTTATCAATCAAAGTCTGCAATTGCGGAGTTGCAGTGTTAGACGAACTATGCGGAAAGTTTAAATTGGCATTGAATACCGTAACCAGCACGGATGCCAGGCATTCACGAACGTTCTGAAATGGATTAGTCAGTAATCGATTTTCCAAGCGTATTAATAGACGTTGCAGTAATTCTGTGACTCGCCATGATTGCAAGGCGCTTTGTAACATATAAAGACGGCCGCATTCTACGAACGAAGATTCTGAGTCTTTCAGAAGTGACTCTTCCATCAGGCATTCTAGTAGCCAGTGATGTCTATTTGGATCCCTACGTAGTTGCGCAGTCGCAAAGCATATACCCCAATCTACGAAAGTTTCCTCCGTTAGATTCGCGATTGCAGTTCTTATAATGGGCAATAATGATTGCCACATATTGCACACCATCTCGAAGGGCCAGTGCTTGGCACCTCTGATAATCCCGGCTGTGATTTCCGCGGCGCATCGTTGGCTGCTTTCGTGCTTGTCTATCACTAGTCGCTGTAAATGCGGCAGAAAATGTTTCAAGTGAACGATTCCATGATTGCGAAATAAGCCTTTAAATAGAAAACATCTAGATGCATTGAATTTGTCTTTGCCTTTCTTCTCTTCCAGACTGAGGTAACTTATGAGTTTTTCGATGTTCTGTGGATTATCAAAGAAAAGATGGACTTCTCGCTCGCAATCCGTTAGTTCGCGCATTTCCATATCGAGACACGGTTGTTGGGATGAAGGTGCATAAACTTCTAGAATTTTCGGCCAGACATAATAGCCTACGTATGGTTGGTGAACGTATCTAGATTCATCCCATTGCTCGGTGGTCAGTGGACGAGTGTCATAATTGTACTGAAGCCAAGAATTGTCATTTCTTATTCCGGGACTGATATTTCGACTTTGTGGTGATGAATCCTTTTCATCTTTTGTAAATCCTTGTTCCTGTTCCTTTAACATGCTCTTGCTAGACAGACTGCATATATCAATTGCCACCTTTAAGTAAATATTTTAATTAAAATATATATCCATAATTTATATAAAAATAATTGATATTTATTGTATAAAATCTAATAAAAGTTTCTTACTTTTGGATGTTTTCTCTTTTGTTGTTTCAACATAAATACTACCATTTTAATAGCAATTTTTCTTTCTTCCAAAGAATCATGTATAAGCGCTTGCAAGAAATAACGCACTATTTTTGCGGAATAAGTTTGATTTGGATGAGCCAACCCTTGTATAAAATTCATCGCCATTAATTTATGTCGCCAATGTAGAGATTCTTCAAGTATACAACGTAATAGTTCATCAAGCAAGCCAGTATATGCCGTTAGCCTAGATTTATTGAGTTCTTTTAAGTTATGCGCGCCCTTTTGTATCTCAATCTCATTAGGCTGCGGCAGTGTCGGTTGCGGAAAGCTTTCCCACAATTCGCGTGCAGTTATCAAGCACCTATCTGGTATTTCAAGTTCGATCGATTTTATATAAAAAGATTTGCTTATAGTATGTACAATTCTTTCCTTCATACGAATCACAGAAAGCTTCTCGGATGGTTTGGAAAGTACGATGGCTGGCCACAATGATCTCAACACATTCCAGCCTCCCTCTGTAATAATGGGAACAATGGGTTGCGGTCCGTGCAGTATATATAGAGCACCCTATTTTCGAATAATTTAAAAATTTAATGTTGATTTAATGTTGTTTTTTTTTCAGCAAATAATTCTTATGACAATTAGTGTTTTTAACAAAATTATTATTTACCTTATATGCATCGTGATATTCCTCGGTATCTTTTGCCAAAATATCGATAAGATGAGGAATTATAAATGTATAAGAATATCGGAAAGTTTTGAAAGCAGAAGAGAGGCTGGATTGAGCTTTCGCACGCACGTCTGCGTATCTGCTTATCGCCAGCGTGAATAGCTCTAATATTATTCGTTTATGAGTTTCCGTTACTGCGACCGATTGCGTGAGCATTCGGAGTTCATGTTGAATATCACAACGTTCCAATATCAATGGACCCATTCGGTCCTTGTTCCCTATCAATTTATCTTCGAATATTCTTTTGGCGACTTGAAAAGTTTTGCGTCGTTCATCATGTGATTCACGCAGCCGTATTTTTCCCAATAATAAATTAGTCCAAATCTGCAATTTAAATAAAACATTTTCGAGATTAATTTGAAAAATCCATGATATAGCATTTTTCCATAATTATACGAAAAATATTCTTCAAAAAATGCTGTATTTAAAACTTTTAATAAGTATCTAAGATATTGTGGATTTACACGAAACTCGATTTTTTTTTCTTCCTAGTAGAACTCAATAAATCTTATTACACTTACATACTGCACAAAAAATATGTACAACACACATACATACATCCACATTTCTGTAATGTATGTGTGTGTTGTATACGTAATGAGATTGATATTCTACTAGTGAAGATAAAACACTTTGTAAGTGATTTGTATGCGTGCACATATATACATATACATACGCACCCGTATTAATACAAAGAAGCTCTTTGTATTATCTTCTGCATTTTCAAGCATCGTTCGTTGAACTTGACTCATAATCTCAGCGAGATAATGTCTAACATTGCTACCATCAGGCATTGTAACATACTCATTCATTCCATATACAGGCACTACAGATACATTCCACTCTACGGAAGATTTAATTACTTCAAGTGGGGTCTCTGTCCAAACTGGTAGAACAGATTCAGAACCTCTAATAATGCTGCATATGATATTTAAACTGGCAAGCAATTCTTCCCTACAATTATTTATATATGATTATTTATCTACATATGTATTATCATTCTCAAAATAGTTTTAATATAAAACTAGCTTTATAAACATTTTATATTAAAAAAAATCAATATATATTTTACATAATTTTGTTTTCTATTTCTATAAAATAATCAAAATCGTGTATTCTTATTATAAATTCAATTATATAGATATATAAATTGAAATAAAAATTGTATGAACTGACCTATTTAATGTTCTAGAATCTTTGCAGTATTCATTAAGCTTATTAATTTGAACCGTCAAATATCTTGAGAATATTCGTTGTATAGCAGCAATCTCTTCTTTGCCAGGAATATACCATTTGATGCAGAAGTTATTAATATCCGCGCTTTTTCCCCAGTCTCTAATGTAAGGATAATCAGGATCGTTGTAGTCTCTGTTACTAGACTTATACTGACATGGAGTAATATTCGACAAAGACCAGAGAATACATTTTAATAGATGACAAGCTAGTTTATTTCCGTCTGTCGATCTTAAGAGTAGAACGCGATCGAGGACCTTGAGCAGCGTGTCTATATGTGGTATCAAATTATTTCCTGGAGTATCGACAATCGCGGACAATATGAGCATAGCATGTAGAAGGCGATGATCCAAGTTCTCTTCCTTCAACACGTCCTCTTCCTCACTGACAAGCGGTAAGATGGTTTGCGTAAGTACAGGCACTAGCGCATGCAATGTATCACGTCCGTTAAAGCGAGAAAAACTCTTGCATACGACTGCTGCCAATTGACCTGCGACTTTTGTCTCGAGAATTCGTTCTGTCATGAATGTACGTAACTTATGCAAAGCGCTCTTGAAAATCACGTCGCTAGTCTCCATCAGAAGTGTCGAGCATACACCAGCGAGCGCCGTTTCTGCAATCGACTCTAGTTTGCTTTTCGAATTACTACCGCGATTCTCAAGCCGCACACTTTCCAATGAACTGGAATCTATGAACATGAAAACTCTGTCCAGAAATTGTAATATAAAATCTTCGAAACGCGATGTCGCTTCGCAAATTATCCTTTCATCCTCTGTCATATCCGCAGTTGATCTAGAGGAATCCACAATGGGAATTAATGTGGCATAAACGGAAATTAAACGGAACGTGGCGAAACATTTTCCAATGTCATTTGGATCGATTCCAGGTAATGATGAAAACAGCAATGGTAATACGTGCATTGGTCCTTCCGCAAATGTATAACCTGTACAAGACAAAATTATATGTATGTGAGAAAAACGAATATAAAGAGAGAAAGAAGGAGACATGGATATATAGTACTCGAACAAATATTTTTAACATGTGCCAGAACATGCTTGCATGTCATTGAACACATAGGTAACCCAGGTATTAAATCTCAATAAATAAAATTTTATTTATTGATCTTTGCAATATATATTTATAACATATAATACTGTTCATTTCACCTGTGTTTATATTCTTAGAACCTTGCACCATTGGTCTGGCAACAGCTACCATACAGATCATTGAGGCTGTAAGTTTATGTGGTTCGGTTAAGGAGTCGAATGTAGAATACATTCTTTCCAACATATCTGGTATTACTAAATTCGGTCTCATAGTAGCAAGATACTGTAAAGCGTGGCAGGCATCGTTTACACCAAATTTATTGAACATAGCTGTCATAGCTACAGGTAACATACTTTTAACAAAGGCATCAACATCACTATCAGTTAATTTATAATTGTCAGGAATTGGAGTCTCCCATGTTTTCTTAGCATATCTTTCTCTGAAATCACACAAACAAAATGCATTATTTAATTGGATATACTAATAAAAATGTATTATATTGGCTGGATTCTAGAGTAGAATAAAATAATGTAGAGTGTGTATATATACTGTGTATGTGTGTATGTATATATATATCTATCACACATACACACACACACATATATATATATATATATATATATATATATATATATATAAGTATTACAATCAAGTGTAAATATTAAATACCTACATACTTGTGTAAACGTAAGATAAAATAATTTGGAAGTTTGACAAGAAGTTCCTTTAATTTTTGCATCCACCATCCAAAATTAGCTGGATGACAATATGTTTCTATGGTTTTCAAAAACTTTTCCAAATACATCTGTGCACTTGAACCATTTCCCTGTATAAAATATAAATGTATATGTATATATATATATATATATATATATATATATATATGAATAAAATTAATGTATATATGCAATATATATATATATATATATATATATATATATATATATATATATAGGTTAATTCAAAACAAATGTAATAAACCTTAAGAGTATTTGGAGAATAATAATTGAAGAACATATAAATCAGATGAACATAAATCCTCAATATTGACACAGTTATTTTGCAATAATTTAAAAATGTTATTCCCATCATAATAGAATTCTTTGATAATCTTTAAATAATTAGAACAAAACAGAAGAGGTAAAATATTTTTTTATAATAAATTTTCAAAATGTTTTATGAGCAAAACTTATGTAAAATTATGTATATATTAAAAATAAAATTTTTTACTCAGAATAATCCTCCAAATGATCTATTAAAGTTTTTTTACACTTATTTGAATCAATTTACATCTGCGCGTATACATCCACATATAAACACACACACATACTCTTTAAAAAATATATCTTATTATTCACATACTAATCATGTAACCATCTTACCAAAACTGCCACTATCCATGTAGCTATTGATGCTGTATCTAGTTTATGAACTTTGTTGCTTTGTGTCTGTTTATATGTTACTGGCAAGTGTAAGCATCGTATAAATCTAGTGAACATCAAGGGAAAATGCGGTTCCCAATCAATGTATCCAATATTATTATGTGCCAATCTTGCCATTAACCACATCATATTGTTTTCCCATAGTGGCCCATTATGACACACCTTCCATAGAGTCATAAATTCTTCAAACCATAACTGATGTCCAATGGAATGATGCTCAGGAGGTAGTTGTAATGGTAAAAAACATTCTAAAGTCTGAAGACTTACACACATTGTTTTATTATCAAGAGGACAGAATGTTGGTCTTAGCTCATCTAATATTTCTTGCGTGGCATTCAACTGTTGCAACAATATTGTTAAATATAGAATTAATTACACGTTGAATCTGAAAAAAGCCTCTTTTTTTAAAAAAATTATTCTTACAGGAAAGTAATTCTTTATAGAGCGAATCATGCAATATAATATATCTTTCAACCATGAAGGGCGACGATATATTTCTGACGATTTCTCTTTTAGTAAAGGATGTATTATCTCATATAGAGGTCTCCATGGAAGTTCTAGCTCATTAGGACTAATTAATTCTTTCTTCCTAAACAAAAAAAAAGAAAAGTTCAAAAGGATTATATCCATATTTAGGATCTTCTTCTGCTTAAATAAAATTCATTTTCTCATGGAATCATCATACTTTCTAATCATAACTTAATGCGATGTTAACAATTTTAATATAATAATTTGAGTTAATAATTTTTTTGTTATCAATTCTATATGTACATATATATATATATATTTTTTGAAATTATAAAGATATACCTATAAAAACGTACCAACTAAATTTATAAAGTTTTTAAACTGAATTTCTATTTCCCTTACTTTAACAGTTGAAGCATGGTGGTGGTAAATTTATTAATGAGATTTGGTTCCAAATTTGGTATGGTAATAAGCTCATACATCAATTTCACAAACGCTATATGATCTTCCTTGCTAAATTTCATCCCATATAACTTTATATATCTAGAATTCAAAATTAAATGTTATAAATTAGCATAATATAGTATAAAAGATGTGTGTAATCTCAAAAACAAGGCTACTCACATATTTAATTGGCTTGACCAAAAGACACAACCTGGCTTGAGCTCACGTAACATGACTGCACGTCCCAGATTTCCTTTGATCTCGGCAAGCCATACTCGCGATTCGACATCGAGCTGGTCTGCGTATGGTAACAGTTTATTATATACCAACTCTTTTTGTGGTCGAAAGCCTAGATCTCTTCTAAATGACGGCTGCTTCTGCAAATTAGCCTCCTCACTGCGACTGCATTCGTCGTCAATTATCATCTTGCTTTCCATTGCTATTTAACATTAACAGCGAACGATCAGAGCTGGTTAGACCCGACTAAACTGAATTCGATTCTGAGCGATCAAGTGTCACGCGCGTGGTTGAATCAGCAATAACCTACTTATTTCTGCAAATTTCTATCAAGTCATGTTTTCTATCTTCGAAGCCATGTTTGTTACGCGCAAGCTGAACTCAGCTGAATTTTACGAAGAAAGCGCTGTCATAATGAGTCTGTTCTTTTCAGCTGCACTGCTGCACTAATGCAATTAGTTAGAGTGAAAGAAAGTATGTTTGTCTCTTTCTAACTTATTGCACTAGTGCAGTGGTGCAGTTCAAAAGAACAGACTCCATATGTCAAACGTGTAGTATCCTTAGGTCCAGTTCCACAATCCAGTTAATCTGAGTTTAAGTAGTGAATGGACCAATCAGGAGCCAGTTTAACGTATTAAACTCGGATTAACTCGAGTTGTGGAACCGGGCCTTAGAAGAGACTAGAGATCATATATATGTAAGGTGGGTTTCCATCAAGAAAACATAGGTAAATATGAAAATGTCGCGTCATTGGATATCGAATAGAGAATTTTTCAAGTTCCTAAAATTTTCTACTTTACAGCCAATCGTGTGACAGTGTATTTATGTGTGTTCTTGTTGGAAAGTTTTCATAAGGATAGGCCCAGCAGATGAGTCTATATACATCTGCTGCAAAAAGAGAGAAAATTGCGGAGTTATTTTTTTTCTTTTTACGCAGATCAAATGTTTTTGTCAGCCATTATCGCCTTTATATATGCTTAGTTTACATCAAATGATTTGATACGCATATTAAATGGTAAATAACTGTTTTCCTTTTTTATGTTTCTTAAATAATTGTTTCTTTTTTGCGCTTTCACATTTATTTAATTTGCGCATTGTTTTTAATATTTTCGTCCTTGTTTCTTAATTATTTATATTTATTATGACATTTTAATAATTATTTGTCATTATTTACTATTATTTCACATTTATCGTTCAAGAACACATTTGTTTTCGTGAATTGCATTTTCAGTATCAATTGCATGATTCATTTATCATATGTGTCACGTGTTATTCGTGTTCACTTCATACGCGATAGATTTATTTGTTATTCGCAGTTTTAATAATTTCTGTCATTTAATTTATGAATTAATGAATTTTTTCATTATACCTGTCATTTTGTTATTGCCTGGAACATTTTATATTTATTTCATTCTTTATATTGTTCATTCGATACTAATCAAACTAATTTTTCTTCTGTTTCAATAATTTTACTTTCTTGCTCCTATACTAACGATAAATTTTTTTTTCTTTATCAGATAATGAATTATATCTTATTGATTGATAAAAATATCTTTTTGCCTTTTCATCTTTTATTCTTTTATAAGTATATTTTGTTCGTTAAATTATTCTTGCTAACGTAAATAAATTTATCATCGTCGAAACTTTGACAATTGGATTTTTCTCCTCATTTACTATCTGTGATAAATTTAATTTTTTGAAACGAAGAGAAGAGAGAGAGAGGGAAATTAAAAAAATATATAAGATTAACGCCGCTTTTATGTACCTTATATAATATACGCGTATTCTCTAAAGACAATATTTTTTCAATAAAAATCAATAATTTATTTTCATCAATTTTATTTTTATTTAGAAATCTTATTTATTGTGAAAGCTTATTTATTTTATAACAAATACTTATTTCATCTTTTATTTTAGAATGAATTTCAAAATATTCTTATCTTAGTTCAATAAAAATATCTAGATTTCAGCCTTCTATGATACAAGATTATCTATTATCCAACACAAGTCGACCTGCATTACTTGAGTCGCGACCGTTAGATACCTTCGGAAGTTCAATTTTATTTCGTAGAGCGAAATAAAAAATAATTTAAACCTAGTATATAAATCATCCCTTCCCTCTGAATTCTTTTTTCAGCGCGAAAGAAATTGCCCATATAGCACAAAATATTGCAGCAATCTTGCAAAGTTGCGGCAAAATTGCAGCTGCAATATTGCTGTAGCTTGTGCTACATAAGTACAGATGACCAATGGACGCTAAACGACGCAAACGCGAAAAAGATTCATCTCTTCGACATCACACCAACAGTCATTTGCCCGACCGGCGTTACATCTAGATGAGTGCGCGCGCGACGGCTCGGTCGATGAGATGTACATCACCGATCAAAAGTATTGCGTCATTTATAGAAACAATAGGGAAGTCATTACACTTTAATGAACAAAAGCATATAAATATTATTATCAAATTATATTTTATTACTGTTATTTCTTATATCTTTTTAATATCATAAAGATTAAAAAAATTATAATTAATAACAGGAAATATTAAATTATTGATTCTTCTTTAAATTAGCTTCTCTTCAATATTGCCATACTTTTGGTGTTCTTACAGGTTTTTTTTTAATTGTTACTGTAATATTTAATTTCAACATATTTGGAAATATTTCCACAGATTGAAGGAGAGATTGTAGAGGGAAGAAATAGATAATACATTTACATAACGTATATAGTTGACATATGAAAGCCGTTTTATAATTAACGTGATATTAAAAAACATTGGAAATATAACGCATTTTAAACACTATCAAAATAAATATCATTATAATCGTATTTAATTGTAATTATTTTTAAGAACCCCAAATAAGATATAATATACACTTTTCATATTTTATGCACAGCGAAATGACTTAGCAAAGAAAACTTAGTCATTTACTTGCGCGTTTTCTGTGTGTTTTTGGAAGTGATGCAATACTTTTGATCAAAACTGTATGTACAAACGGAGCAAGGTGAATGTACAAACGGAGCAAGATTGCTCGCCGCGCATGGTCCGTAGGTAGGCAGGCAGGCAGGCAGGTAGAATTCGTGTCATCTCGGTCGCGAGGATCAGAGCTCAGTTCGAATCGCAAACCATGGGGCTCAAACCGTGAAAATGGCCGTCTGACGACGACGTCAAGGACCAAGGATCGCGCGATCGATCCCGGAGGATATTGTATTCTTGAAGAAGAAGTGCTAGCCGTGAGTGGACATTGACACATGCGATTGACATTTCAGGCTAGTAACTGTCAAAGTGGTTTAGAGACAATTTAATGTTGTTCCCGAGGGAAATAACGTTTATTGCTTACAATATTCGTTAAATAGTGACAAAGTTGTTTTCGTACTGTGTGTGTTATTAAAATTGCATTAATTTTTAATGCGAGGTAATTTTTTAATTTATAATAAGGATATACGTATATTATCCTTTTTTACATACTACTTCAAGACAAGATTACTTTGTGTGAAAAAACTCTATCATTTAATATCGATAATGATCCCTGCTTTTGCTTAACGTAAACAAAATACCGGACAACAGCGAGCAATTTAAGGGATACGTAGGAATTGGAAAGTGCTGTGAAAATTTTAATTCATCGAAAATATTGCAAATCCGCAAATCCTAAAATTTACATTGTCAGAGTGTATTAAAGTCCACTCGCTTTAAGAAGTGGAAGATACTTTAACGCGCCAACGAACGTAACGGAGAATATCCTGGCGCAGTGGAGGTCCGTTACTTCCAAGGAGGAGGTAGGAGAGCGAAGCAGATAGGAAAAGCAGCGATTTTGTTGATTTACACAATTTTACCTCTGGCGCAATTACGACTGACAACCAATATGTGCTCGTATGCGTTTTGCGAAGAAACAGAAAATTGCGAAACTCGTTACTATCTGCCTCGCTAAATTGCACAAACGATTGTGATATCTAATATATACATATAAATCCTGAGTGGTACATATATATATGTATATATATCTTAATGTATATTTATATTTTTTTTAATTGAATGGATGCAAAACGAAATATAGTTCACTTTTATATAGCAATTTGTGCTAATAGTCTCCTCGGTTGTAATTTTGTGTGTATCCTAAAAGAACTTTCCGGAGTGAATATAATAAAAGTTAATTTAGCGTGAAGAAATATATCTGTCGAGGAAACTTCATATATGGAAAAGAGAGAACAGAAAAGTAGAATATCAAGATTGGTGTAAGAAAGTGAAGAGAAATGGTGCGCGAGAGATTTCGATGGTATTGCTCGAGATCCGTGTAAGAATTTCCATCGATTTCTTTAGTGCTGCAAGGATATTGTCATCGTGAAATTACAAAATTCAGCTTAGAGGTATTTGTCAAAGAACCGACATGGAAATAAGCTACGAAAGTAAAATGACAAGGATGTTCGACACCAAATTTAATTCTGCAACAAATCAATGTAATATCAAAGTGCACAATCTAACGGATTAAAATTCTGCAAATATCTTGACGACATTATAAACCAGCAAGAACCAGCTATCGCTAACCAGAAACCGGAAACTAAAACCAATTGGTCAATCGATGGGATCGTCCGGATGGGAGTATCCGGGTCGTCGAGTGTAGCGATAACTTCCTTAGGGCCACACCTTTTGACAGAAAAGAACGTATGATGGACCGTCGCAGAATTGACAGATATGGCACCAGGGAGATGCGTCACTCGAGAAGCGAGGATCTGTTGGGCGCGATCTCCAGGTCTCCCAGTCCGAACATCGATTTACCCACTGCCACATCCGAGGACGATCTGATCGCGGCTAGCGCTCTTCGGGACTCGAATATCTATGATGGGGCTGGTGTCAACGTTGCGGGACCCTCGCGATGTATCCTCCCGTCGCCATCTAGAGTAGTAGGATTGCCCGTTGACCCGGAAGACTCCATTCGCGACATTGTTACCGAGAATGACTTGTATAGGTCAGTGCAAGTTAATATAATTATTTTATTTATTTCCTTTAGCTGCAAATGTCATCAAAGAAAAGATCAACTTATGCTCTATCGTTAAAAAGTAACATAAAAGAAATAAGACATCTCCTGTATAGAGATATATATTTGTATGGATTCACATTTCAAACACTATAAAATTTCTAGAGTGAATCATATGAATCTTTTAGATATATGTTAATGTCAGATTTTCAGTAGCGATAAAATTTTAATGAACAATTTGTTCTTTATTATTAATTTACCGATATCGTTATTTCATATGTATTTATTTAATATGTGAAAACAAGATCTCAGATTTTTTAACGAATATTGCACCAAATGATAATTATTAATTATTATTGATTTTTTATTTGCAAAAATGATTGAAGTCAATTTTGTCGATTGAATATCAGCGATTGATACATAAATATATGTCATAATTATAATTGCTTATCACTGACCCTTTCTTATATTTTTGAAACATTGCATGAAACACTTGTGTTAAATTAAATGCAAAGTTAAAATATTATTGCCGATTATTCAAGGCTTGATGCAAAACTGGCCTTGTGATACTATAAGGAGATCATTACCATCTACTCACACCTACGCAATCAAGAGACTGAAACAAGTATAATTTATTTTCTAAGCGATCGAGAGCGGCTTCCGCGAGTCGCGGTTGCTCAGTAAAGTAAACCTACTATTATTTCGATCAATATCTATTATTTCTTGAAAGAAAATTTGTACTAAAAATATTTAATATATACATTACACAGAATGTAATTCCAAAATTATCGGATATACTTTTATATGAACTTTTTTTTCTGGGAATAAAATCATTTATATTGAACTATATATCTCTTAAAGAATAATGTAAATTTTCTATTTTGAAAGATTTTCTCTATTACAGAAAACTTAGCTCTTATCCTACATTCTATCTTGTTGATTATGAATTTATTAATCTACTGCAATATAAATAATATTACTAATAACGGCGCATTGAATAAAAGAATCTTTGAAAATTTCGAGATTTTTGGGGCGTTTAGTATTTTTTTATCTCATACACGGTGAAGAGCACGGAATTAAAAAAAGAAAAAAACATAAGAACATAACTTTCGATTATATCATGTCTATGATTATGTAATCGATTACACAGTCCAAGAAAAAGTAACCTTTTTTGAACACAAGAAAAAGATTAATTGTTTTCTGTAGTCTATTAGATAATTGAATACGCGTAAATCTAATATTAATATTGATAAATTTAAAATAATGGAAATAATAGATATTAAAATTTAATAATGTTTGGATTTCTGCAAAGAAAGACATTTATATATACATGTATATAAATTATGACCAAATAAGTTTGAATAAATATATAATTGAAAAGTATTTGGTAGATCCAGAATCTAATTCGTAATTTTTTCAATATACACTTTATATATTTAGTTATAAATATCTCTTAACCATAATATAATATAAATATCTCAACCATAATCGATATAAAAAATTCTTTTTCAGAGAAACTCTTAATATATTTAATTTTGCAATAAAACTTCTCCAACATATTGCATATCATAACTATAATATTTTAAAATAATATATTAATATAGTCCTCTTTTGACATTTTTGATCGCAAATTTCTCAAAATATGACATGATGGAGTTTGGTAATTTAAATCATATTCAACATCAAGAATTACAGGAAATGATTAGTTTTCTTCTTGTGTTTTTTAAAATTATGTTTTTGTCGACCTGTATTGATTGCAATCACGTGCATCTCGTATGATACGAGCTTCGTATTTCCGGATCAGATGGCTTTCTCATGTTAAAGATATCATCGTGCAGAGGCTCGGCTGACCACTCGCTCGCCATTGCCAGCCTGTGAAAAGTACGAATCAGCATTAAGAACGAATCAGCCGGTCTCATGAAAGCGAAAGTTGTGTTCGCGGGGACCAGTTAGCAAACGAATGAGAGGAGGAAGTCTGATTCACCGTGATTGATGCGGTGAAATCGGTCTCGAACGCGAAACCCCAAAACTCCAAGACTCAAAGTGAGCTAAACGAGTGTGCATGTTCCGGTTCCGTTTCTCTTTTTGGAACAATGGCTGGGAACAGACTGCAAATATATCGTAGACTTTCTGATGCTACAATGAACGACGATGAAACACGTGTATTCGCGTATGTTATTCGATTCGATAGGAAATAAAAATTCCATACGATTTTCATAAGTGATTTTATGCCCTAAATCTACAATTTCCTCTATTTTTATATAATATAGTTTATTTTTTTTCTTCTATGATTTTCTTTCAATCTTCCATCTTATTCTATCACCAAATATACGTGAATAAAAATATACGCTCTTCGTCTCTCATTTATTTCTTATTCTAATATGATCATGAGTCAAATGTGAGAGATGGTGCAAGAGAATTCTACTTTAGAAGACTAATCTATAATAGATAAAAAAATCTATAATAAATAAAAAATAAATAATTAATATGTAATAGAATTATATTCTATAAAAAAACTAGATAAATGATTGTTAAAATATAGAAAATCTATTGTACCACTTTGATTTCGTTTTTTCTGTAGATATGTCCTGTTCAAGCGGCATTATGACAAGTATGTGGATCTTGCCGAGAAGTATAAAGAAGCAAAGAATATCACTTACTATCTGGAGGAACGCTATCATGAGATCAAGGTATGGATGTCGTTTTTGTTTAATGATTAAATATTTATTATAATATATTAATTGAGCCCCCATCTTGAGCCCTAATGTTTTCTTTTTAATTACATCAATATCAAGTCCCCTTTTTAAAGCATTCATTTTATCTCGTACTTTTATATATTATATTATTTTATACATACAATGGGAGAAAATTATACCATACTTTCCCATACTATGGCGATAGCTTACCTATTGTTAGAGCACCTATTGTATCTATTCCCACGGTACATTTTGTCACTATTGTCGAAATAATTTCGTTCAGAAGTTTTCACATTATTCTTTGTTGTCACTTTTGTAAGACTAATACAACATTTCAAACTTTATTCTTAATATCTCACAGATAGAATAAAATATATAAAATTTTTTCTATTTGTAATTTTTATTCTCATTTTTATTCGAATACTATGAAACTTTTCTTCGTATTTCGAAAATTGATAATATTGCTGTTTCTCGCTAATAAACAGTACATCCCATTATAATAGTGGTATTTTTTATTTATTATTACAAGATTTGATTGGAAACAATTAGAAATATTCTCAATTTATCATTAAATTTTTTTCGTTTTTTACAAATTTCTTTATTATTATTAATTATCTTCTTATTAGAAGAAGGAATGCGTAAAATTCCAACTGGTGGAATTATTTAATCAATGTCAGAAACGGAGGAGATATTTGTGATTAATCTGATAGAAGTGAAATAAAATGCCATACAAAATATTTGATTTTTGCCAAATTTTTACATCTTTAATCTCTCGATAAAAATAAAAAATCCTGAGACAGGATATAATCTAGGAATTATGCTTTCCATCCTCTTGTTCATAAAAAAAGATACAAAATTATAGAAATAACTGACGAAATAACCGAACAAGAAGCCATGTTGTTTCTTGTTAATTAATCTGCAGAACGCAATAAATTCTATTCTATACAAGAATGAACCTAACGTGTGATTTGTGTCGCGACGATAGTTATCAAAGTGCGTCTAGTTGTTCCACGATCTCATTATTCTCGATGATGTTATCTCGCTAGCTGATTGTTAGTGAGTGAAATCGAATCTCTTTTCTTATAACGTTACCCTCGAACCGTTTCGCAAAACCGGAAGAACAACTGCGAAGACAAGAGAAGCGATCGTTAAAAGAAATCCATTTTTTCCGCGAGAAATTTGTTTCGCTATACTGATCTTTATTTTATTAACTATACGATTTATATCTTGACGTATAATTTGAATTGGATAATTATTTCTGTGTGTATGTGTGTAAAGAATGTACTCTGAAATTTCTGACCGATCGTTAGGAATTTTAATTGGGAAAAGTGGAAGGTTTATTGGCGAAATTTTTCTATGGAATAGTATTTTTCTTTAATAATATTAGTCACGCAGATAATTACGCATTATAGAGGCCGAGTAAAATTCACTATCTTATTCACTATCTTTAATCGATGATATTTATCTTTCATCCCGTGATATATATATATATAATTCTCTATCTATTATCTCTGAAATTTCTAATAAATACGCATTTCTTTTCTGAAGTCTTAAATTTTAACATACATAATATATATTCACACAATATTCTTGATCTTGCGAATTTTTGGCTTTGGAAATTCGCTAAATTTTAATTAAAAATCTTACTAATAATTAGTCCATAATTTTGCGATTTTTAATTATCGTTATTGCGATTATAATTATATTATTCTTCTACTATGTATATAATTTTTATAAGTTTTTTTATTTTAAAGATACTTTTTTCTAGATTTTTCTAGATTTCAACATATATTAGTTATATATAGAAAATATATTAGCTATACATAATTGAAACCAATATTTGACGTGCATCAAATATAATGATATATAGACATACAATATTTGACTAATTTTATATAATCAGGCGGAACATCTTATTGATCATATATAGTTCAATAGCATTCTTATCAATATCACCATATCTGATATTAGATATAATATCAGTTCTAAATAATATATGATCATATAAAATTACATATTATCAGATCTTTATATAACTAATTATATATATTTACATTTGATATTATACCATTTTTCTCAAGTAGTTTGTTTATAAATTTACTTGTTTTCTAGTAACTTCTTTTTTTCAATTCTTGCAAGTTATTGCGTTTTGAAATGTGGGAACACAAATTACATCGACTACCATATCATGCTTTAGATCATCGACATGCAAGGTGCATTCCGAGAAGTTCGTAAACCGTAACCAGAAAAAAAGAGAGAAAGAGAGAGAGAGAGAGAGAGAGAGAGAGTGTGTGTATGTGTGTGTGAGAGAGGTTTGCGACAAGATATTCTCATCATCCTACTTTTCATATACATATTCCCCTTGATTCGGCCTCCGATTTTCTCGTATATTTTCCGCTTCATCACCTACTTGTCGTTTGGATTTCTCGTGTTTGAGATTGGGAATATGACGGATATGAATTTGAGGACGCTCTTTCTCATCCTTTCTCGAACAAACCATCATTGGATTTTACAGATTCGTCTTAATTTTCAGCTGATAATATCTTGACAAATTTAATATCTAATAATTAAATATACTTATGCATGCACATGTGCAATAATTTATTATATTATCTATTAATATTATCGTATCATATATTTTCCACACTATGGATATTCTCTTTTCTGTCTTAAATAATATTTCTCGCCGGGAGCAACTAAGATGTAATATAAAAAAAATTGAAATATAAGCTATGATATTGATACTCCGATTATTTTTCTCCGCGTCAGCCTGTTTTCCTTCTTCTTCATTTTACAACAATAGAAGTTGTACAGGATTAAACTAACTGTTACTTACAATGCATCAAATAATACATGCACGAACTAATAAAAGATTTGCATATGTATTCATGTACCTACATACATAAATATATAAACGGAAAAAAATAATATTACTGTTGCAGCAAAAACATAGCCCCTATTAAAATATATGAAAATATATACAAATATATTTAAAATTTTTTCTAACAACAAGTTTTGCTATTGTAACTAATTGTTCAATTTATAACAAAATTCGACACAATAGAATCCTTTCTTTTATTTAAATGAAATTAGTATTCTTAATTCTGTATTAATAGTCCGTTATTTAAAATCATCTTAAGTAAGTTCTGAAAATGTTATACAGCCATTTCATTCATGGTTGAATGAAATCTTAAAACATGCGATCTAAGGTCATACTACTAATTGTAAGATGATACGAAATATAAGAACGGAACTTTGAATATTGGCTTCCAACCAAACAAATCTTTTTGCTGTTTATATAGCAATTGATTTTGCTACAGTAGCATAAAATATGCTATGATAGCAAGTTTTTTCCACACACATACAAAATATAAATATTATATAATATAATATAAATTATATAATAAACAAATAAAATAAACATAAAATAAACATAAATATAAATATAAATATATATCCTATGTGAAAATTAAAATTAAATTAATGAAATTAATGACAAAATTAGAATTAGTAGAGTTCTCGTACACATTCAGTTATTTCTCTAATTAATTCACATGCACATGTTATTCAATTATTTCTCTAATATAATCTTCTTTAATATAAAGTTATGTATTTTCTTCGGAATTTGCGGCTTCTCCTTCTTCATTATTGTAAAAAAGCTTATTAAAAGAGCCTATTACTTCTCAGTATTCCATAGTTAGCGTTCATCAACCTCGCTTGCTCACCTAGTTGACCTACAATGTGAGACCGCCATTAGACAAAACCAGAACCGGTGGGGAAAGGGAGTATCGAGTATGCGTCATCTTGTGTCATCGAACGACCGCGCAAAATCGAGCTAGATTCAACAGTGATTGTCAAAACGAATTTAATACTGACAATATGAAATCATTGAATAGAATCGATAAAAAAAGTGCAGAACAGATTTTTACAAAGCAAAAATATACTCAACACTTCTTTAAAATGATATGTGTTTCCACATTTTATATATTCGCAATATCTATTTTATCGCAGTAAGCAATCAGTTCATTGACAAATTTATGCATGTCAGTCATTAATAAGTGTAAGTTAAAATAAAATATTGTGTATATATTGCTATTAATACCAAACATGCAAAATCAATGAGCGGATGTTATTAAAACAACAAATAGAATAAAATCAAATTGCTCAAAGTTATTTTATTCATAAACATAAATTATTTATATAATTTTATATGATTATATATGTGGGCAATCTTTTCTCAATTATTTAAATTTCATTTTTTCTAAAAAATGATACAAAATTATTTTTCAATTATTCTTTTTAATATTTTTTTTATATTCATAGAGATTATATAAGAAAAAGAAAAATTACATGTATTCGATTTATAATTATATATATTTATGCTTAGTTATATATGGTTTTTTTTCTCGGACACTAAAATTTTTTTCGGGGTCCAAAATCATGTTACTGAAATTCGACGATTTTGATTCCAAAGACTGAACGAGATAGATTGGAAGAGACTCGTAGGAATCTGGAAAGACGGCTGGAGGGTTGCGAGACGGAACTTCGTGGCAAAGAAGATGAACTTTTTCTACAATTGGAGAGAAGTCTCCGATTGGAAGAGGAGATCGAACGCGCGAAAACCGAGAAGGATAACTATGTGGCAGCGCAAAATCGACTAGAGCAGCAGCGAGAGTCAGCCTTTCGTCGTTTGCAGATGCAGCTCGAGCAGAACGAGATCACAAGGCGAGATCTCGACAGAGCGCGCCAAGATGTTATCCGACAGGCCACTATTATTCGCGCCGAAAGGGATACTTTGGAAAGAGAGGTACAAATTTTTTTGTATGTGTTTGATTCGAATATACATATTGCACGTCGTTTTATCCAGAAGGATTGATTTATCTTCAAGATTCGAAATTCTTAATTTTCTTTATCTCTATATTCTATTATTATTAGATTCTATTTTTGGAATTTCTTTACCTTTGAAAAATTTTATTTCATATATTCGCGTATTTTTGAAACATATAATACTAGGATAGATCTTATTTTTTTATAGAAAAAATAAGATTCTCTGTTTCGTTACTTTTATTTATTACTTAAACATACGCACATATTGGACACTGTGTGTTAAAATATAAGTTATGAGTACTTTTCAATATCGAGAAGATTAATTACTTGTTTCATCTTGATATGAGTTAAATTTCTCTTTCGACAAAAATCCGACTCTTAAGATTTTTGAATAGCATTCCATATCACTGTAGCATCTAAAAATTGTCTTCCTCAAAAATGTTTCTTCAGCGAACCAAATGAAAATAAAAGAATGAAAATAAAAAAAGCTAGAATCCAGATAAAGAGAGGATGTTTTTATAATTCTAATCAAATAATTACAGAAGTTTGAAAGTTCAATATCAACAGTGAGGTCTGACACTATCGTTAAAAAAATCATAAGAAAAAGACCTGGACTTCTCTAGAGAAGTTCTAGTCTCTTTGAATTGTTTCCTTGATGATGTATATATAGAATGTTCTTTTGAGAATAATTTAAAATTAAGAGCCAGATTTTTATAAAAAAAAAAATCTTCAGCTTATGCTAAGATGAAACAAGTACGTCAATCTTCTCGAAAAGTATTAAAAAATAATCATTAGCTTATATTTGAATACAAAAAAATCCAATTTGTGCATAAATTGCAATAAAATAGGGAATCTCGTTCTATTCAAATATATATCATATCGATTCTCTGTTTATTTTTTCTAGAATGAAATGTTGCGGCAGAGACTCAGGGTGGAACAGCATGAATTAGGAGCCGAACGACGTCGTCGAGAAGAAGGCGTTGCGGCGCTGACAAGGGAGACAATCGCATTGAAGCACGCTACGCGCCATTTAAGCGCTGCAACATTTCACGCAACATCTTGCCGAAATCGTCGCCGATGCTCCATTTGCATATATGCCAGACGCACCTTCGCCGACGTCAATAATTATCGCGACAAGTAAATAAATTCATTAAAAAAGCAGAGCTATGTCGGCATTTGATTCAAAAATTATGTGAAATGTATAATATTTTAATTTAGTTTAATTTAATAAATAATTTTACTATTTCAGTGGAAATCTCTTGCAGTGCCTTCAAGCACCCTTACAAGATCTTCGTAGTTGGTTGCGACCCAACGCAATCCAGTCGTCATCGTCCCGAGTTCCACGAATCGAATCATCTATGGCCGATCGCGAAATCTGTTACATCGACGATTCCAGCGTCGACAGTAGCAGCAATGGTAGCACCAACAGCCGCAGCTGCAGTAGTAGCACCAGCAGCAGCAATAGCGCTTATGACGACGAGGCTTATTCGAATACTCCGATAGCCGAACCGTCCCTCTCTTCGGCCACTTCTAGTGTCCCGCATACAGTTAGAGCCTTTTCCTCGGATTCAGGGTTTGTTTAACTTTATGAAAGATGTTATTATAAGAGTATTTGTTCGCGCATTCTCATTTTCTAGTTTACATTACTAATTCAGGTTCTCTTCGGAAATGGGAGATCGCAGATCGCGATGCTTTGACAATGTTGGCAGTAGCATTAGCAGCGGCAAGAGCAGAAACATCAGCGAGTCGCTAGACAGCAATGAGGTCGATGATCAGGGCGCGGTTGGAAGAGACGGGTTCACTCGTTCGAGATGGACATCCTCTTTTCGCAGATTGCTCGGACGAAAATCGAAAAATAAGTTCGATCGTTCCTTGGATATAAGTAAGACTGATGAATCACGATGAACTTGTATTTATATTATGCCGAGACAAGGACTCATTGCAAATACATTCTCCCATTTTTCTTCCTCTCTCTGTCTCTTATGACGAATTCTGCGAAAAAACAAGATTTATTCGAAATGAAATAGATCTTTATAGATTTCGAATTTTGTAGAAAAATGTTAAGATTATCTAGATTTGGATATTTATTATTTGGAAAAATTAGAAATGAGAATTTAGAGACTTGTAGAAGCTCTCATAATTTTATAGAAGATGAATCATAATCGACACATGTTACAAGAAAATCTGCCGTTTAGGAAAATGTATTCAATTGACATGGAATAGTCACAGAACATATTATAATTCCTGCATTCCTGCATTGAAATATTTCAAAAATATTAGAAATATTTCTGACAATATCGGATAATATATTCCGATGGCAATTGGATAATTACAATCTTATCTCTTCCAATATTACATTATTAGTTGAATTTTGTATAAAGATAGCTCGACAGACAATGCAGATATTTTGTAAAAGATTAGAATAGACAATGTGATTTTTTTTAGAGCTTACTAATTTCTTCTTTTCTTCATAATAATGCGTAATTAAATTTTTGGAACAAATAATATCATACACATATCCTATCTCTCAGAATTTGAAAACCCTAAATACAAATTCCGAGATTCTTTTTCTCTCAACGTAGGAATTGAATTTCGAATAAGTTAGGGAATTACAATTACATATATACATATAAGGAGAAAGAGTTGGATTATATTAGAAATAATCGCGATCGCGATTAAACTTTATATGTACTTATTCACAAATTGTATACATGGGTTTTAAAGGTTTCGAATATAGTAAAAATGACGTATAATACTAAAATATTCGATATTTGAATCGGATTCTAATAATAGAACAATGTTATTGTTTGCATTCTGAAAAAAGCTTTTTTATATTGTTACGTTTTACTATTGTTGTGCGGTGATTGTTGTTGTATTTCAAAAAGTACAGTGGTTTATGAGCACAAAGATTAATCGCTATTGTATTAGAGATTTTAAATTCGTGACAAATTCTTATCATTCGTTAATATTTTTGTTAAGAAAGTTAATTTCCTGTGCGACTTTAAGTACATGCGTGTTGAAAGCGACTGGACCAAATTGCTGACACGGAAATCTTGTTACGATAATATTATAAAATTTCAAAAACGAATATTATAGATGCAAATAAAAATATGTATACGACGAAAAACGAATTCTTTTCGATTTATATCCTAAATATCCTAAATATATTCTACTTATTTAAAAAGTTTTTAAAAAATACAGTATTAAATATTTACGGAGCTTAACAAATACTATTAATAAAAGTGATGGAATTATTGTAATCTCATCGAGGAAATGTTATAATCAAAATTACATTAAATGAGATAAATAAAAACGATTTCTCGAATTGTGATATTGAGAAACAATTCAATTTTATCTTATTATTGCTATTATATATTATCTTTTATTTTCTATTATCATATGTTATATTATGAAATTTTAACAATTCTCGGTTTACGTTACTTCATTTCTGATAACAGTATCACACAATTCTATTCTATTTTCAAAATATTGAGAATTTAATGAAAATTGTACAGAATTTTACAGAGAATTTCGCCTTGTAACAGATACATATAACTTTATTAACTAACTTTATTAAATTATATTTAATATCTTTTTAACAAGTTAGTACTTGTACAATATTATTTGACCAAATATTTCCTCTGTATCTAAACTTTTGCAATTTTAAACAAATTGTGAATATTTTTCCATGTGTTTTTGTCATTTGAATCGACGTGATTACGTTTCCCATGAGGACACATGTTAATTCAGTGCAAAATCCTTATAATTTGTGAACGCTTTAATGAATCGATCTAAAAATTGTACTGAAGATTCTAAATATATGTAAGGACATTTTGTACAATTTTCATTAAATTCTCAATATTTTGAAAATAGGTACAAAACATCCTTAATCATTTCGATTAACAAAATTCGGAATATTTCAGTAAATACGCAATAAATATTAAAAAATACATTTCTGCACTGTAGCTAAAACCAAATTGTAATATTCCACACAATTTCTTACTCAAAATACAAAAGTGGATATATTCGTCAATATTGATTTTCAGCTACTTTTTGCTAGGATTGTACAAAACATCCTTAAATAAATGTAGAAATCGTATTTTCGTCTTTTCTTTCCTTCATTTCTGCCGATAAAAATATTTTTTCGTGTACAATCTGAAATTATTTATCCATGATACGTCAACTATTTCATCTCTATTGTCTTAATGTAATCTTTCACGAATCGTCAATATCAATTAATAACGCCGGAATTCGTTCGCTTATTCGTCAACATATTAGAAGCGTGCAAATCTGCTCTCACTCCCGCTCGTTCCCGACAGCGAGACTGGGTCAGAGATGTAAAATTGTCTCCGCAAACAACATGCCACGCGTAGTGAAGAGGGTAACGGAGATGTAAGCGTAAGCGTACGTGTGAGCTCGGCGCTTTGGCGAGCTTCGGATAGAAGAAGAGGACAGAATACAGTTGTCTGTCTCCTTCTTACCAAACAGGCAACAAAACTTAATGCTTTTATGTACAAAATAATGAGAGGAATCAATTGGTGTAAAGAAAACATACAGTTTTTAAGAAAAAATATGGAATTGTTAATTGCAAATTACATATTTTTTCTTAGAAACAACTATGTGTTTTCTTTACACCAATTGATTTCTCTCATTATTTTGTACATAAAAGTATGAAGGTAAGATAATCGAAAAATGAATGGTTTACTAGATATTTTATGGTTTATGTAAAATTAAGAAATTATTTCAAGCCTTATAACTCAAAAAGTACTTAATGAAAAGGTACTTAATTATAGTGTTTTGGAAAGCTCCCGAGATAAGCTACAAGAATATGCAATGAAAAATAGGGGGTTCCGTTTAAGAAATTGAAGGTAACCTTTATGTGACCTTCAAATGACTATCCAAGTTCAAATTTTTGCCACTCATCTTCTGTCCCCCTCGAAGTCAAGCAACTTTTATTTGAAACATTTTGTTGTACATTCAAATATAAAAAAGTTATTGGGATGGATAAATTAAAATGGCTCACCCTGTATATTACATATACAAGGCGGACCAATAACTCTGTCCATATGGAATATCTCCATTATTTTTAGAGATACAAAAATTTTGTACGTATAAAAGTTGCACGGTACCAAGAGGGCCGTAATATGCTACTAATAATTTTTTTGTAGGTGGAGGCGTATGAAAACATACAGTTGTTTTTAAGAAAAAATATGAAATTGTTAATTGCAAATTACATATTTTTTTTTTAAAAACAACTGTATGTTTTCTTTACACCAATTGATTCCTCTCATTATTTTGTACATAAAAGCATTAAGTTTCGTTGCCTGTTTGGTAAGAAGGAGACAGAAAACTGTATTCTGTCCTCTTCTTCTATCCGAAGCTCGCCGAAGCGCTGAGCTCACATATACGCTTACGCTCACATCTTCATTATCTTCTTCACTACACGTGGCATGTTGCTTGCGGAGACAATCTTGCATCCTTGGACTGGATTCTCGAGACTGGGGGTAGATTTCGATCCCCACTCCATCTAATAGAGCATCGGGACTCCGGACTCGCTCGTTCCCGAGTCTGGATTCTCGAGAGTAAGGGTAGATTTCGACCCCCACTCCATCTAATAGAGCATCGGGACACGGGACTCGCTCGTTCTCGGGACTCGATAACAGCGCTCCCGATAATCTGACTCAAAGCTGCCAGATCTGTGCCGCAAGCAACATGCAACACCTCGTGGAGGGGATAACGAGGATGTAAACGTAACATACATGTGAGCTCGGCGCTTCTCCGAGCTCACACGTACGTTACGCTCACATCCTCGTTATCCCCTCCACGAGGTGTTGCATGTTGCTTGCGACACAGATCTGGCAGCTTTATCTGATTCTCGAGAATCCAGCCTCGCTGTCGGGAACGAGCGGGAGTGACAGCAGACTTGCACGCCTCTACAACATATATGACACCCAATCCGCATATCCCGCCTTTGTGGCGCCCACGTTCACATATACAAAGATTCATGGCAGTTTTACGGAAGTAATCTGATTTTGCTGTCGTGTCGCGAACACGTCCACGGACAATGGCACAACATTCTTCTACGAGTGTTCTCCTGTAGTCTGACAGGTATGCTAACGTATTAGACCGTTTATTAACGTAATAGACCGTGACAAATAGACATTGAACCGTAAACGATCAGACAATTATGTTAAAGAAGTCGCCGATGGAATTCTACCGCGAAGTTAGTGCTCCGAAAAAAATTGTCAGAAATTCTAATCTCGAGGAACTGTCGTAGCTATCTCAAAAATTTTTTATAGCTAAACATTAATCCACTATGTTGAAGAAATATTATGTTTCGTGATTAAATTTTTTAAACATATATGCAACATTATACATATACGTGTCCCACCTAGAAGTGGCCACCCCATTTTATCTTTTAAACTAAAAGAGATAGATCATAACAAATATATATGAAATTAAATGGCTTGAACTGAACTTTATTGTGAGTATAGTGATTGATTACAAAATCTGTATTGAAGAACGGAGAGATATGCATAATTTTTTTTTATAATAATGTAGATCTTTTGATATAATAAAAGTAGCACTGTTTGAAACAAATATAACGATGTACTTTTTAATGTAAATATTTTACATATTATACGAGATTTTCCAGTTTGAAATATCGCGCGACTTCCTTCATTTCATTTTCGGCCCTGCGATATAGCTAACTTTTGACTCGTGCATTAGATGTTGACATATGTCATGTTGTCAATTAATTATGATACTCAGAAGCTTGGCTATATCGCAGGGCCGAAAATGAAATGGTAGACATCACCCGCGATATTTCAAACCGGAAAATCGCGTATAATATGTAAAATATTTACATTAAATCATACATCGTTATATTCGTTTCAAACAGCGCTACAACTTTTATTATATCAAAATATCTACATTATTATAAAAAAATTACGCATCTCTTTTCGTTCTTCAATACAGATAAATTTTGTAATCAATCATTGCTCACAATAAAGTTTAGTTGAAGCTTAATTTCATATATTTTTGTTATAGTCTATCTCTTTTAGTTTAAAAGGGAGTGAACACTTCTAGGTGGGACACGCTGTATATATACATATATATATATATATATTTATATATATATTATATATTATTATTATAAATATATATTTTATAATATATATTTTTATTATACATATATTTTTATTTAATATATATTTTATATATTATTATATATATATATATATATATATATATATATATATACAGCGTGTCCCACCTAGAAATGGTCACTCCCTTTCACAAGTCGGAAATGTAAAATAAATTTTTTTTATGTAGTTTTGTTTCAAACAAATTAGATTAATTAAGATAATTTTATTCAAACAAGATTGAAGATTTAAAATATTAAAAAAACATTATCAGTTCAAATTTCTTTAACTTGTCAAGTAAATTAAAGAATATTTATATGTAAATTTATATGTAAATTAAAGAATATTTATATGTAGCAAAAAGAGTGATATTTTTAGCAATTTATAATTTATTAAAATATATATATTATTAAAACTTATTGTGCTTACTTTGACTCATACCATAATATTATACAACTCATAATATTATTTGATATTATTTTATTATTTTAAATATTATAATGTTATTTTTATGAAGAGAATACTTGTATGTAGTGAGATCTATATTGATTCTTGTCATTAATCAAGTGCACATATACTTGACAGATTTTCAAAAGCAATTTCCTCGAAAAAAGTTTTGTATAAAAAATTTTTATTCTATTGTACATTTTTGATTTGCATAGTACTTGAAGTACTGTCTCTTTGTGTGTGTGTGTGTGTGTGTGTATATATGTAATAATTTTTTTATATATGTAATAATATCAATATTCTAAAAGATAAATGTACATTAAAAACGAGTAAAAAATATTACTTGAATATATGAGTTATGAGAAAATTAAAGGAAATATTGGAAATGTTTATCTTTTGTTTCGACATACGTTACTGCACGTTCTAATCGAGTCCTTGACTCGTTCGAAATTACTAGGCATTGCATAAGTTATTTCGCATTTATTTGATATCTTTTTTTCAAATCCTGAACAATATTAATTTTTATGGAATAATGAAATTTTAAATCTTTTTTCTCCTTAAAAAAAGGCCAATAAATTTAAATCAGAAAAATTTTTGCTACTTATAAATTCATTTTACTCTATCTATCGATTTGGAAAGAATTTTATTTAATATTAAATATAATTAAATATTTTAATTGTAACAAGAAAATAAAGTTAAACATTTTCTTTAATCTTTCATATTTCAATAACTATAATATGTGTGACTTATATGCAAATAATATATTTTACTTTTTTAACTTGTATAGACCAGAAATATTATCATGCATCTATGAATCACACAATATAACATATACATAAATACATACGTATATATATTGCTGCATCTCAAAGCTGTTATTATAAGTAATTCATCAGCTGTTATCATCTGCGTTTGGCTTTGATGAAAAGCGAAGTGCTATGGATTCTTTCTTATCGATTTAGCTCGATTTCGAATGTCAGCAGTTTATTAAACGTGAAACGAATGCTTGTTTTAGCCAACAATAGAGTCGAAAGGCATCCAATGTGCGCCCCTTCGTTTCACGAATCAAAAATATTTTGCGATGCAGAAATTCTCTTAAATTACAAACAAACATATAAAATTTTCATAATACAAAGTATGCGAGGTCTGTCCGGAAAGTATCCGATCTTGTGTTCTAGCTTTGTATGTGGGTATGCTATTGTTAAAAATAGGTACTCATCATTTAGGGGGGGATCTTTATGATTGTCCCTGCCAGATAGCACGGTCCTTCAAGTCTTCAGTCGACAACGATACGCTGTTGAATAAACAGCGTACCGTTGAATTTCGTGCGCGTCGCATTTCACGATGACTGAACGCATCGAACAAAGTGTGCATTATGAAAATTTTGCCAAAAATTCGGCCATTCGTGTTCGGAAACCATCCACATGATTCGTCAAGTATATGGCGATGAATCCATGAATGATCCTCTTAAGGGAAGAACATTCGATGACGTGGAGGAAATAAAAAGGAATGCGACGAAGCGGCTGTTAGCTATTCCGAAAGCTGAATACAAGGAGTGTTTTCGAAAGTGGGAAGATCCGAAGCTGGAAGAAGATTGTGGCTTCCAAAGGGGAATACTTTGAATGGGACATCGTCGCCATTGATAGATTTAGCTCTTTCTCCTGCTACAGCACAAGGTCAGATACTTTCCGGACAGACCTTGTATATCTGCATAAATTGTTCATTGAATATTTTGACAATTATAATAATTAGATGCGGAATTCGATCATAATATTGTTTTTTTTTTAATTCATCATTACGCGATGTATTATCCATGCTCGCAGCAAAGGGAACAATGACTTCGATGAAGGAATGAAAGATGTTGATTGAATTTCTTTGCAATTGCCCAGGTAGCAAACACACATCATTTTAACATTCAAAACTGGTCATTTTTTGTCATATATCGTCAAAGTGACTGATTTATTACATGATTTTATATTGACATCTTGATATAACATTATTTTGATGTCATATTTTATGAACTGATGATTATTTTATTTAATGTGATTAGTTAGTACATCGATCCCATAAAAAATTTTTAAAAATTTTTTATATAACATGATTTTCGTGATCAGATTTTAACAATTTTTCTTTCGAGGCATACGTTTATCTGTGCACGACTCATGTTGCTTAACCACTCAAGTTTATTAAATTAGTGCACGGTGAAATTAACTATATTAACCAAATATAATTAAAGTGCTAAAAAATATACACATTTTTTTATAATACAGTTGATATATTTTTATAAAACGTAGACAACGAAAGGCATTATTTGTTGAAATTTCATATGATATTAAAAGTAAGTTTATTTATATTTAAATAAAATAATAATAACAAATATAAAACTTGTGACCTATTTTCTTACCATATTTGTGTTTTTCAGCGTTTTCAAATAAAGCAATTTAATTCCAGATTCCTCTGAAGAATAAAATAATGGCTGTAATTTAATAATGCTCTCGAATCAGTTAATCTGCTTTATTTGACAACACTATTAAATACATTATTATGCTGAGAAAAAGACGTCAAAATATGGTACATTTTATGACATCAAAATACGATACATGTCATGACGTCAAAAATCTGTGACATTAGACCGTCACTTTTACGTCATGACATGTATGTAAAACTCGTGACATCAAGAATAATCAGTGAATGACTAATTTGATACGTCCAAATGACGTGTGCTTGCTACCTGGGATGACAAGTATTTTTTAAACGCGTCACATAATGATATAATCGAACTGTTAGTATATAGCATAAATGACATGGCATTAAAAGTACATACATATACATACACATGTATATATAATATACACATATGTACGTATGTACATATGTATTCCATATATCGCGTGAATGAAATGTAAGAAATAATGCGGGATTACATGTAATGGATAGTCGCACAAAACTCGAAGAAGAAATACCTTGAGATATTATTAACTGAATATGATTTAATAAACTCGGCGATCTTTTCGTTAACAATACAATACTCAGATCGAAATCGTTTGCTCTTCCGATTTGCTCTCCGTCGGAATAATAATAATCTCAAATCGAAAAGCCACATCAGTGCGTCGCTTGCGTGGCGACATGTGTTTACTAGAGATACCTATAATTTATATTAGAGATATTATAGAAAATTAATTTATATTTAACATTTTCTTTGCAAACAATATTTATTAACAAATAGTGTTATTGTTTGCAGAATGAATTTCCTGGTAGCCTTGCCTAGAAAATATAAGAGATGCGCTAATGGCGAACAGTTTTTGATTGGTCACTGTAAAATCACATGATTTTTCCACCATCTTGTACCCCATAACATCATTAATGACGTTACTGATGACGTTTATTGACGTCATGCTAATTGTTGCTCGTGTTAAATCTGAGTAAAATCTTGTCTTTTCATGTATTATGTAATGTTATAAGTTCAATTAAATCCTTCGTATAGCAAACTTGTTTTGTTGCAGTATGATTAGACTCAAAACACAAGCACGGCTGTGTTCAAAAATTCACTGCCAGTACTGAAAATTTATAGTATACGTCACGTAAACTATAGATTTTTCAGTATTGGCAGTGCAGAATTTTGGAACGCAGCCCCCACATGTGATGTCAATGATGTCACAAGATGGTGAATAGAAATCGTTGTGGGGAGTCATTGACGCATCTCTGATTATAGATTTCTAGTGTTTAGTGTGCTTCGTCATTCCTTCCAATGGTCCTGCGCTGTTCGACGTCGTAGTTAAAGAGAATAAGTCCATAGATATCTCTACGCTCGATATATAAACAGATCATCCGAGTATTAGTGCTCGATGTAAATAAATAAATCGTCGGCACGTTAAGAGCCCTTCAATACTCGACATTGAGAATAATTTTTTATATTTAAATAAAGTTAGTTATGGTTATTTTAAAATATATTATATTTAAGTAAAGTTAGTTATGGTTATTTTAAAATCAGAGAAAAAAGACAAATATTTTTTATAGTCGTTTCCGATAGCCGTTTTCTAATCATTTATTTCGTTGAAGTCTAATTGAGAATGTTCGATGCGCTAGAAAACAATTTATTGAAGTATTATCGAGAAAGATTTATCACGAGAGTTTCACAAATTGTGATAAAGATATACTAATCGCGTGCAAATACGCGTGAGATTACACACGCAAACACACACACACACACACACACACACGTAAATATATACGTGGCAAGGCTATCAGGAAATTCATTCTGCAAACAATAATTCATTCTGCAAATAATAATACTGTATTTGTTAATAAATATTGTTTGCAAAGAAAATATTAAATATAAATTAATTCTGATTTCTTTAAATTAAACTCGTTATAATGGATGTTATCTATATACTTCACATATACTATCTATAGATAGATACACACATTTCATCTTGTTTCAAATGGATACGCAGAATCGATAAAAAAATATTATCGAAATTGAGGCGAGGTCATTCAGAACGTGCTAAATCTGTATAAGCCTTCACAACTGGAGTATCTGTTTTTTTGCACAGTTTCTATCTTTACTCGACGGTAAAATATCCACTCTATCGATTTAATTCAGTTTAATTCTTAAATTTGCTCTATTTGTAAAATTTGATTTAAACCGATGACGTAGAAACACGTATATTGTTGCTTTGTTTTTAAATTGTTTTCACCTATTTTTATTCATTTTTTATACGAAGCATCTCTTTTTCCTTCTCTCTCTTTCTCTTTTTTTCTCTTTTTCGTATATTTTAATCTTTTAGCTATTGTAAATATTATAATATGCAATATTATAATATGTTATCATAAAATCATACTCCCCTTAATGAGTGATTCTTGATATATTAAATTATAATTTTTTTTATATTTTATCAATTAAAGAATAATCATTATTGATGGATGAAAATGGAGAAGAATCCGCCGCCACCTAGTTCTGCCTCACTTTCATACACTCCATATCCACAGCCACCACCACAACCACAGACACTATCGCAATCAAGTATGTATACATATAAGCAAAATGTTGGAAGTAAATGATCAACAAGTTTGAGCGGAAAATGGCACCGAGTGTCTAAGCTTGTATTTTGTTGATAAAATCTTACTAGACAGTAAATTGACGAAGCAGAAACAAATCAAGCATCAAATATTTATGTGTATTGATTAAGATGTGTTTGGTCTTTGCCATTAATTTCTGTCACTATATTTTATTGAACTTTGTTAAATATTTCTGCCAGCATTTTATTAACAGCATTATATATTACATTTTGTATCAAATTTATAGAATCTATAAAATTTATGAAAATCTATCGTTAAAATTTGTATGATAGTTATTTTACAAGTTTTATTATCGACAAATTTGCTTCTCTGTCTATGAAATATAAAAATTTTAGTTATAAATTATTGAAAAGGAATAAACAATTTTTACTTGCTACGCTTTCTTAATAAAGATTCGAAATTTATAACTTTATAAAATTTAATATAATTTGATTAAATATAGATGTCATTATAACGAGGTTTGGCTCACAATCGCAACATCTGACTTGTCCACACTGTCATGCTAATATATCCACACGCGTGGAAACGGAATCGAACATGAAAACTCATTTGATGGCGGTGTTTCTTTGTGCTTTGGGGTAAGATTTTGAGATGTAACAGATCTTAATAAAAAAATGACAATATTAAATCTCAAATATTTTCCAGACTCTGGTGTTGTGTACCATGTCCCTACTGTATGGACGACTGTCTGGCGAAGAAACATTATTGTCCATCATGCGATATTTATCTTGGAATAGGCGAAAATTGATGAATTCTGAATTAGATAAAAATACAAAGAGATACTGTAGCATTATTGTCGATCAATATGTGTAGGATGAAAAAAAAAACAATTTGTGTATGCTTTAAAAAAATATCAATTTGATATATATTTCATTATGTTTGGTTGTAGGGGTGTAGAATTCTTATCCTACGCTCCTGAAAAATGGCAGTAGGAAAGTAGGGATGAAACAGATTAGTCCTTGCTTTCCTGCGTGAGACATGACACAGTTGAATCGGGAACATAGTCTAGTCGAGATTAATATATTGGAATAATTGAGGATATAAAGGAAGATCTTTAAGTTAAGTCAACATAGAAGTAGTTTTCTGTAAGACCGTGCACCTATCTCCTCTATATCACTGTTAAATACATAACAAATTTGGCGACGAGAATGGGATTCCTGGTAAATAAATAATGATTTGCGCGGGAAATAAGCGATATGTCATGTGGTCAAAAGAAAAGAGAAATAATCTATTTTTCTCTAATAAATTATGGCAACAAGTGGTGTTACCACTCGAGCAGACAGTGCATCAGAAGCGAGCACTAGATTTATGAGTTGTGCAAAGGTGCAAAATGTAATGCAAATTGAAAATTTCGATCCGACTACACAAACATGAAACAGTTACATTGTCTAGAAGGTTCGTTCAAGGTCTTCAAAATAACAGCTGAAGAAGAGAAGATGGCTTATTTGTTACATTATATTGAAGTAGAAGCGTTTGGAATTCTATGCGATCGTTTGGATCCGAACGATCCGTATGAGAAGACATACTATTTGGAGAATTATGTAGAAAATTAGAAGAATTTTATGCGTCAGAATCGTTAGAAATTGCGGAAATATATACTTATCGCAAGCGTTTACAAAAGAATGATGAGTCAACACAGGAGTATATGGCGGCCTTGCAGAAACTCTCTTTACATTGTAAATTTGGCAATTATTTAAAAACGGAATTACGCAATCAATTCGTTTTTGGGATAAAATATTCACGGATTCAAGATAGACTATTGGAAACTGTAGATCTGACAATGGAGTCAGTCCTTAATATTGCTTGCTCTATGGAAAAAGCAGAGGTCAAGAGATTCATCAATTGAAAGAAGATCAAAAAGGGTCAGGGCCCTTACTCTTAGTGCCTGTGGACTACATTGAAACAAGAGCCAAATCCAAAAGGAAGGGGAAAGAGAAGAAACAACCGCCAGGCCAGAGGCCGGTGTTGTCCATGAAACCGGAAGCGAAGAAATCTTTTTCGTCGAAAGGAAATTTTACGCACATGAAAAATAGTCATAAGTCTGATAAAATTGTTTGTTTTAGATGCGGTAGAAATCATTTGGCGCCCTCCTGTTCTCTTCCTCGGAGTACTAAATGTTTGGAATGTGGTCATTTGAAAATAGTTTGCAAAAAGAAAGAATAAACGAATTATGTCGAGAACATAGCCACAGTGGACAAGGTATTCGAACATTTGAAGTATGGATCAAAATAATATACAGTTCCTCTCTTCGTAGAACAACGGAAGATTTTGTTTGATGTAGATTGCGGAGCGGCGGAGTTTTTAACTGTGCCAAGCAGGTTTTTTTTTTGTAGTGATAATATATTGGAATCATTTAATCCAAAACTGCCAATTGTTCTAATTACAGATGCCAGTATGGAGACGACGCGGTTTTGTCACATAAATACCCGGATGGGTTAGAACGAGTAATACAATACGCTTTGCGTACTTTAAATGAAACGCAAAAGAAATACGTAAATAAATAAAGAAGCGTATGCTATTGTTTTCGGAATAAAAAAATTCCATAATTTTTTATATAGTATTGCATAATATTTTATACGGTACTCATTTTATATTGCTTACGGATAATAAACCGATTATACAAATTTTGAATCCATGTAAGGGTTTACCGGCCTATAGCGCAATGCGCATGCAGCATTACGCGGTTTTTCTTCAAGGTTTTGATTTTGATATCAAGTATAGGAAAACTGAAAATCATGGTAATGCTGACGCGTTCTCTCGATTACCGATTAAAGAGAAAGGTTTATCAAATTTTGATGCATTGGATATTTATACTATGGAAACTGTAAATATGTTGCCAGTTAAAGCTAACGAAATTAGAATAGAAACGTCTAAGGATACTGATCTTGTGAAAATAAAGGAAGCATTAGAAACCGGAAAAGGAAAAAGTTAGGGTTACAGGATCACGAATTTGCTTTGTGTAATGGAATATTATTGCGAAAAGATAGAGTAGTGATTCCAAAAACTTTAAGAGATTGAATTCTTAAAGAACTACATTCTGGACATGTAGGAATTGTTAGAATGAAAGGTTTAGGAAGAAATTATATTTGGTGGCGTGGTATTGATAAAGATATCGAAAATACGGTACAAAATTGTAAAGAATGTAGTCGTCGCATGAATAATCCTAAATCAATGTCATGGCATCATTGGGAGCCTGCGGAAGAACCGTTCCAAAGAATTCATATAGATTTTGCGGGACCATTTGAAGATTACAATTTCTTAGTTTGCGTAGATTCGTTTTCAAAATGGCCTGAAGTATATATAATGAAAAATATTACCGCGAAAAATACAATAGAAAAATTCCGGGAAATATTTTCAAGTTTTGGTATACCGCGAATATTAGTAATGGATAATGGTAAAACGTTTATTTCGCAGGAATTTCAAGACTTTATTGAAGCTAATGGAATTATTCATAAACAAACGGCTCTGTATCATCCAGCGATTAATGGTTTAGTAGAAAGATTCGTGCAAACACTTAAGCAAGGATTACATAAAGTTAAATTAATGAAAAATATGATAGAAGAAAATGTTCAAAAATTTTTTTTTCATTATTGCATTACTCCAATTCCAGAGTTAAAGAAATCACCAGTGAAAATTATGTAGATATAGTAGTATGTTTGAGCGAAAGTTGCGTAGTCGATTGCATTTGATTTTTCCTAAAGAATTAATAACAATGACAAATTTAAAATGCGATAATAAAACGAGGAATTTTCGAATTGGAGATAACAGCCGTACGGAAATATTTAAATGAAAAAATTAAATGGCGTTTTGGCACGGTAGTTAAAAAGTTAGGAAGCTTCACTATTTAATAAAAGCTTCATTATTTAATAAAATTAGAAAATGGAAAAATATGAAAGCGACACAGTTACGCAGTGATAAGTCTAAGAGTACACAAATTGTTGAAGCGAGAGAGGAACTGGATGTAGCATGTGACAGAGAAAATGTGCGGTTGATATTCTAACCGAGAAAGAGACGGAGGAGAATGCGCCGAAAGAGATATCTGTAGAGCAGGAAAAAGAATCTAAACAAAATGTAAATGTACGTCTTCGACGCAGAAGATTGGAACCAGTTTATTTTAAAAATTATTTGATTTCTTATTAAAGTAAGAATTTTTGTTAAAAAGGGGAAGAGCTGATATATATTTCATTATGTTTGGTTGTAAAGGATGTAGAATTCTTATCTTACGCTTCTGGAAAATGGCAGTAGGAAAGTAGGGATGAAATAGATTCGTCCTTGCCTTCCTGCGAACGATACAGTTGAGTCGGGAACACAGTCTAGTCTAACCGAGATTAATATATTGGAGTAATTGAGGAAATAAAGGAAGATCTTTAAGTTAAGCCAACATTGAAGTAGTTTTCTGTAAGACCGTACACCTATCTCCTCTATATCACTATTAAATACATAACAAATAACTTTACTGTTGCTGCAAAAACATAGCCCCTATTAAAATATATAAAAATATATACAAATATATTTAAAATTTTTTCTAATAGTGACAAGTTTTGCTATTGTAACTAATTGTTCAATATTATAGCAAAATTCAACACAATAGAATCTTTTCTTTTATTTAATGAAATTAATATTTTTAATTCTGTATTTATAGTTCGTTATTTAAAATCATCTTAAGTAAATTCTGAAAATGTTACAGCCATTTCATTCATGGTTGAATGAAATCTTAAAAAATGTGATTTAAGGTCATACTACTAATTGTAAGATAATAAATATAAGAACAGAACTTTGAATACTGACTTCCAATCAAACAAATCTTTTTGCTGTTTATATAGCAATTGATTTTGCTACAGTAGCATAAAATATGATAGCAAATTTTTTCCACACACATACAAAATATAAATATTAGATAATATATATAAATTATATAATAAACAAATCAAATAAACATAAAATAAACATAAATATAAAATATAAATCCACTCACATAGGATATATATATATATATATATATATATATATATATATATCCTATGTGAAAATTAAAATTAAATTAATGAAATTAATGACAAAATTAGAATTAGTAGAGTTCTCGTACACATTCAGTTATTTCTCTAATTAATTCACATGCACATGTTATTCAATTATTTCTCTAATATAATCTTCTTTAATATATAAAATTATGTATTTTCTTCGGATTTTGCGGCTTCTCGTTCTTCATTATTGTAAAAAAGCTTATTAAAAGAGCCTATTATTTCTCAGTATTCCATAGTTAGCGTTCATCAACCTCGCTTGCTCACCTAGTTGACCTACAATGTGAGACCGCCATTAGACAAAACCAGAACCGGTGAGGAAAGGGAGTATCGAGTATGCGTCATCTTGTGTCATCGAACGACCGCGCAAAATCGAGCTAGATTCACTAGTGATTGTCAAAACGAATTTAATACTGACAATACGGAATCATTGAATAGAATCGATAAAAATAGTGCAGAACAGATTTTTACAAAGCAAAAATATACTCAACACTTCTTTAAAATGATATGTGTTTCCACATTTTATATATTCGCAATATCTATTTTATCGCAGTAAGCAATCAGTTCATTGACAAATTTATGCATGCTAGTCATTAATAAGTGTAAGTTAAAATAAAATATTGTGTATATACTGGTATTAATACCAAACATGCAAAATCAATGAGCGGATGTTATTAAAACAACAAATAGAATAAAATCAAATTGCTCAAAGTTACTTTATTCATAAATATAAATTATTTATATAATTTTATATGATTATATATGTGGTTATATGATTATATGTGTGTTTTATATGATTATATATGATTATATATGATTATATATGTGGGCAATTTTTTTTCAATTATTTAAATTTCATTTTTTCTAAAAAATGATACAAAATTATTTTTCAATTATTCTTTTTAATATTTTTTATTATATTCACAAAGATTATATAAGAAAAAGGAAAATTAAATGTATTCGATTTATAATTATTTATATTTATATTTAGTTATATATAGTAGTAGTTTATTTATCGGACAATAAAATTTTTTTTCGGGGTCCAAAATTATGTTACTGAAATTCGATGATCTTGATTCCAAAGGCTGAACGAGATAGATTGGAAGAGACTCGTAGGAATCTGGAAAGACGGCTGGAGGGTTGCGAGACGGAACTTCGTGGCAAAGAAGATGAACTTTTTCTACAATTGGAGAGAAGTCTCCGATTGGAAGAGGAGATCGAACGCGCGAAAACCGAGAAGGATAACTATGTGGCAGCGTAAAATCGACTAGAGCAGCAGCGAGAGTCAGCCTTTCATCGTTTGCAGATGCAGCTCGAGCAGAACGAGATCACAAGGCGAGATCTCGACAGAGCGCGCCAAGATGTTATCCGACAGGCCACTATTATTCGCGCCGAAAGGGATACTTTGGAGAGAGAGGTACAAATTTTTTTGTATGTGTTTGATTCGAATATACATATTGCACGTCGTTTTATCCAGAAGGATTGATTTATCTTCAAGATTCGAAATTCTTAATTTTCTTTATCTCTATATTCTATTCTTATTAGATTCTATTTTTGGAATTTCTTTACCTTTGAAAAATTTTATTTCATATGTTCGCATATTTTTGAAACATATAATACTAGGATAGATCAAAAAATAAGATTCTCTGTTTCTTCACTTTTATTTATTATTTAAACATACGCACATATTGAACACTGTGTGTTTAAATATAAATTAATGAGTACTTTTCAATATCGAGAAGATAGACATACTTGTTTCATCTTGATATGAGTTAAATTTCACTTTCGATAAAAATCCGACTCTTGAGATTTTTGAACAGCATTTCATATTATTGTAGCATCTAAAAATTGTCTTCCTCAAAAATGTTTCTTCAGCAACCCAAACAAATAAAAATTAAAAGAAGCTAGGATCCAGATATAGGGAGGATGTTTTCATAATTCTAATCAAATAATTACAAAAGTTTGAAAGTTCAATATCCACAGTGAGGTCTGACACTATCGTTAAAAAAATCATAAGAAAGAGACCTGGACTTCTCTAGAGAAGTTCTAGTCTCTTTCTTATGATTTTTTTTAAAGATAGTCTCTTTGAATTGTTTTCTTGATGATGCATATATAGAATGCTCTTTCGAGAATAATTTAAAATTAAGAGCCAGATTTTTATTAAAAAAAAAAATCTTCAGTTTATGCTAAGATGAAACGAGTACGTCAATCTTTTCGAAAAGTATTAAAAAATAATCATTAGCTTATATTTGAATACAAAAAAATACAATTTGTGCATAAATTGCAGTAAAATAGGGAATCTCGTCCTATTCAAATATATATATCATATCGATTCTCTATTTATTTTTTCCAGAATGAAATGTTGCGGCAGAGACTCAGGGTGGAACAGCATGAATTAGGAGTCAAACGTCGAGAAGAAGGCGTTGCGACGCTGGCAAGGGAGACAATCGCATTGAAGGACGCTACGCGCCACTTGAGCGCCGCAACATTTCACGCAACATCCTGCCAGAATCGTCGCCGATGCTCCATTTGCATATATGCCAGACGCACCTTCGCCAACGTCAATAATTATCGCGACAAGTAAATAAATTCATTATAAAAGCAGTGCTATAATATTTTAATTTAATTTAATTTAATAAATAATTTTACTGTTTCAGTGGAAATCTCTTGCAGTGCCTTCAAACGCCCTTACAAGATCTTCGTAGTTGGTTACAACCCAACACAATCCAGTCGTCATAGTCTCGAGTTTCACGAATCGAGTCATCTATGGCCGATCGCGAAATCTGTTACATTGACGATTCCAGCAATGGTAGCACTAACAGCTGCAGTAATAGCACCAGCAGCAGCAATAGCTCTTATGACGACGAGGCTTATTCGAACACTCCGATAGCCGAACCGTCCCTCTCTCTAGTCACAGAACATATTATAACATTCCTGCATTGAAATATTTCAAAAATATTGGAATATTTCTGACAATATCGGATAACATATTCCGATGGCAACTGGATAATTACAATCTTATCTCTTCCAATATTACATTATTAGTTGAATTTTGTATAAAGATAGCTCGACAGAAAATGCAGATATTTTATAAAAGATTAGAATAGACAATGTGATTTTTTTTAGAGCTTACTAATTTCTTCTTCTCTTCATAATAATGTGTAATTAAATTTTTGGAACAAATAATATCATAACATCACAATAATATCATACACATATCTTATCTCTCAGAATTTGAAAACCCTAAATACAAATTCCGAGATTCTTTTTCTCTCAACGTAGGAATTGAATTTCGAATAAGTTAGGGAATTACAATTATATATATACATATAAGGAGAAAGAGTTGAATTATATTAGAAATAATCGCGTTCGCGATTAAACTTCATATATATTTATTCACAAATTGTATACATGGGTTTTAAAGATTTCGAATATAGTAAAAATGACGTATAATACTAAAATATTCGATATTTGAATCGGATTCTAATAATAGAACAATGTTATTGTTTGCATTCTGAAAAAAGCTTTTTTATATTGTTACGTTTCACTGTTGTTGTGCGGATTGTTATTGTATTTCAAAAAGTACAGTGGTTTATGAGCACAAAGATTAATCGCTATTGTATTAGAGATTTTAAATTCATTACAAATTCTTATCATTCGTTAATGTTTTTGTTAAAAAAGTTAATTTTTTGTGCAACTTTAAGTACATGCGTGATGAAAGCGACTGGACCAAATTGCTGACACGGAAATCTTGTTACGATAATATTATAAAATTTCAAAAACGGATGTTATAGATGCAAATAAAAATATGTATACGACGAAAAACGAATTCTTTTTGATATATATCCTAAATATCCTAAATATATTCTACTTATTTTACTATTTCTATTTATTCTACTTATTTAAAAAGTCTTAAAATAATACAGTATTAAATATTTACGGAGCTTAACAAATACTATTAATAAAAGTGATGGAATTATTGTAATCTCATCGAGGAAATGTTATAATCAAAATGACATTAAATGAGATAAATAAAAATGATTTCTCGAATTGTGATATGGAGAAACAATTCAATTTTATCTTATTATTGCTATTATTATCTTTTATTATTTATTATCATATGTTATACTATGAAATTTTAACAATTCTCGGTTTACGTTACTTCATTTCTGATAGTATCACACAATTCTGTTATCTATTTCCGATGCGAAACACCTACACATGCAAGTAATTATTCATTGTCCATTTTGCAAGAAATATCATCATATCAAAATTCTATAAATCTACAAATCAAAATTATAATGTTACACAAAGTCATTCACAATTTGAATAAAAATTATCTAATCTAACTTCTTGAATTTATGGCATTGTATTTTAAGGACGTTTTGTACTTTTTAAAATATTGAGAATTTAATGAAAATTGTACAGAATTTTACAGAGAATTTCGCCTTGTAACAGATACATATAACTTTATTAATTAACTTTATTAAATTATATTTAATATCTTTTTAACAAGTTAGTACTTGTACAATATTATTTGACCAAATATTTCCTCTGTATCTAAATTTTTGCAATTTTAAACAAATTGTGAATATTATTTCCATGTGTTTTTGTCATTTGAATCAACGTGGTTATACGTTTCCCATGAGGACACATGTTAATTCAGTGCAAATTAAAATCCTTATAACTTGTGAACGCTTCAACGAATCGATTTATAAATTGTACTGAAGATTTTAAACATATGTAAGGACATTTTGTACAATTTTCATTAAATTCTCAATATTTTGAAAATAGGTACAAAACATCCTTAATCATTTCGATTAACAAAATTCGGAATATTTCAGTAAAAACGCAATAAATATTAAAAAATACATCTCTGTACTGTAGCTAAAAAAAAATTCAAATTGTAATATTCCACACAATTTCAAATTGTAATATTCCACACAATTACTCAAAATATACCAAAAGTGGATATATTCGTCAATATTGATTGATTTTCAGCTACTTTTTGCTGGGATTGTACATACAAGACATCCTTGAATAAATCGTATTTTCGTCTTTTCTTTCCTTCATTTTTTCCGATAAAAATATTTTTTCGTGTACAATGTGAAATTATTTATCCATGATACGTCAATTATCTCATCTCTATCGTCTTAATGTAATCTTTCACGAATCGATAACATCAATTAATTGATTAATAAATTAAACGCCAGAATTCATTCGTTTATTCGTCAACATATATATATATATATATATATATATGACATTCTCCCACCCAATCCGCGTATCCCGCCATTGCGCTCAAGTTCACATGTACGAAGACTCATGGCAGTTTTACGGAAGTGATTTTGCTGTCGTGTCGCGAACACGTCCACGGACATCGGCACAACATTCTTCTACGAGCGTTCCCCTGTAGCTTGACAGGTATGCTAACGTATTAATAGACCGTGACAAATAGAAATTGAACCACAAACGATCAGACAATTACGGTAAAGAAGTCGCCAATGGAATTTTACCGCGAAGTTAGTGCTCAGAAAAAAATTGTCAGAAATTCTGATCTCGAGGAACGAAACTGTCGTAGCTATCTAAAAAATTTCTTATAGCTAAACATTAATCCATTATGTTGAAGAAATATTCTGTTTCGTGATTAAATTTTTTAAACATATATGCAACATTATACATATATATATATATATATATATATATATATATATATAATATTATATATAATATTATATACATTGCATGAGACGAGTATATTTGAATGTAATTATAAGTGATATTTGCGAAATGGATTTATTCATGCAAATACAAGTCGGAAATGTAAAATAAATTTTTTTATGCAGTTTTGTTTCGAATAAATGAAGATTAATTAAGATAATTTTTGAACAAATAAAGATTTGAAATATTAAAAAAACATTATTAGTTCAAACTTCTTTAACTTGTCAAATAAATTAATGAATATTTTATATGTAGCAAAAAGAGTAATATTTTCAGCAATTTGTAATTCATTAAAATAGATATATTATTAAAGCTTATTGTATTTATTTTGACTCATACCAATATTATACAACTCATAATATTATTTAATATTATTTTATTATTTTTAATATTATAATGTTATTTACGAAGAGAATACTTGTATGTAGTGAGATCTGTATTGATTCTTGTTATTAATCAAGTGCACATATACTCGACGGATTTTCAAAAGCAATTTCCTCGAAAAAAGTTTTGTATAAAAAAATTTCATTCTACATTTTTTATTTGCATAGTACTTGAAGTACTATCTCTTTGTGTGTATATATATATATATATATATATATATATATATATATATATGTAATAATTTGCATATCAATATTCTAGAAGGTAAATGTACATTAAAAACGAGTAAAAAATATTATTTTAATATATGAGTTATGAGAAAATTAAAGGAAATATTGGAAATGTTCATCTTTTGTTTCGACATACGTTACTGCACGTTCTATTTTTGAATCGAGTCCTTGAAAAAACTCGTTCGAAAATACTAGGCGTTGCAGAAGTTATTTCCCATTTATTGATATCATTTGTTTTAAATTCTGAACAATATCAATTTTTATGGAATAATGAAATTTTAAATCTCTTTTCTCCTCACAAAAAGGTCAATGGATTTAAATCAGAAGAATTCTTGTTACTTATAAGTTCATTTTGCTCTATCTATCGATTTGGAAAAAATTTTATTTATAAATATTGTAATTGTAACAAGAAAATAAAGTTAAATATTTTCTTTAATCTTTCATATTTCATCTATAATATGTGTATAATATGTGTATAATATGTGTGATATATATGCAAATAATATATTTTACTTTTTTAACTTATACAGTCCAGAAGTATTATCATGCATCTATGAATCACCCAATATTACACATACATAAATACATACATATATATATATAACTGCATCTCAAAGCTGTATTATGAGTAATTTATCAGCTGTTATCATAAGTAATTAAGCTTATTTTGATAAAAAACAAACTTTAATCGTGATGTTAGTTAAAAATTATTTTTTTATAAGCAACATATATATATATATATATATATATATATATATATACACACAGGGTAGACCATTTTAATCAACATACATGCGAATATTTCAGAAATACTGCATTAAATCGAAAAATGGTAAAATTAAGAAATGATTTCAAGCCTTATAACTCAAAAAATACTTGAGAAAAAAATATTTTATTATAGTGTTTTGAAAAGCCCTTGAGATAAGCTACAAGAATATGCAATAAAAAGTAGGGAGCCATTTAAGAAATTGACGGTGACTATCACGTGACCTTCAAATGACTCTCCAAGGTCAAATCATTGCCATCTTCTGATGATCCCCTTCAAGCCATACAACTTTTGTTTGAAACATTTTTTTATTTAACGCACCGTTTTGGAGATATGTGAGTATTATTTAAAATGGAACACCCTGTATATCTTACTAATAAAAAAAGTATTTTTAACAAACATCAAGATTGAAGTTTATTTTTTATTTTACTTTACTAGTTTATTATTTTAACAGCAATTTTTTTTTAATCAGATTTCTTTCGATTAAAAAACAGTAAATATAATGAAATAAAGTATCAGCTGACTCTGTATTGATTCCAGATTTGTGTGCGTAAAAAAATTATTAATTTTGACTAGATTAGCAAGGGGGGGGGGTATTATGTACATAATCAAATCAAATTATAGATTTAGACGTAAAAGATAATAAACACACAGAAGTGAGAAAAGGACGCAATCGAAGTATTATATAAACACGAGAATTTGCGTTTGACCTTGATAAGAAGCAAAATGGATTTTTTTCTTATCGGTTTATCTCGAGCTTGAACGTCACCAGTTTACTAAACGTGAGACGAATGCTTGTTTTAGCTGACAATAAAGTCGAAAGGCATTCAGTGTATGCGCCCCTTCGTTTCACGAATCAAAAATATTTTGCGATGCAAAAATTCTATTATATATCAAACAACCATATAAGATTTTCATAATACAAAGTATATATCCGCATAAATTGTTCATTGAGTATTTTGACAATTGTAATAATTGGATGCGGTATTCGATCATAATTTTTTCGAATTTTTGAAATGAACATTCGAATCATTGTTTTTTTTTAATTCATCATCATACGATGCATTATCCATGCTCGCAGCAAAGGGAACTTCGATGAAGAAATTAAAAATGTTGATTGATTTTCTTTACAATTGATAACAAGTACTTTTTAAACGTATCATATGATGATGTAATCGAACTGTTATAGTATATAGCATAAATGACATAGCATTAAACGTGCATACATATGAGTTATATACGTACATATGTATATGTAATATGCACGTATGTACATACGTGTTTCGTATTCGCGTGAATCGAATGTAAGAACCTAACCTAACCATGTAATTGACTATAATTGGTTATTTCTTACATTCGTGGATAGTCGCACAAAACTCGAAGAAGAAATACCTCGAAATATTATTAACTGGATATGATTTAATAAACTCGTCGGCGATCTCCTCGTTAACAATACAATACAATACTCATTGTCAGATCGAAATCGTTTGCTCTTCCAATTTGCTCTCCATTGTCGGAGTTATAAAAATCTCAAATCAAAAGACCACATCAGTACGTCGTTTGCGTGACGACGTATTTACCCTTCATGATTCCTTTTGCTGATCCTGCGCTGTTCGACGTTATACACTAATAAAAAAATCGATGATAAAATTGACTATAATTGCATGGTAAAAAAATTATAGTTAGGATACTCATTTTTATAGTAAATTTTACTATGATAGTAATATAAACTATATACACATAGTACCGAGAAACAATAAAACTTTACAATAATTTATAATAATTTCAAATATCATATAAATAAAAAATGAAAGAAAGGAATGATACATATAATTTTACTATTTATATAGTAATAAATCGTGCACGTTAAGAACCCTTCGGTACTCGAGGCGCAGAGAATAATTTCTTATATTTATAAGTAAAGTTAGTTAAGGTTGTCATCCCTCTCACCGTGGCATCCGCGTCAATGGATATGGGTCCATTGACCCTTTCCTTTAATGACTGAGTCTAGCAATGTACCGATCGATACCAGTCTGTAGTAATCGCTTTCATCAGGTACCCTCCTACTGGCTACAATTAGTTCGTGCTAACTGACTCAGATTGAATCAATCGAGATCAATTCTTGATAACTGACTTCCGTTGAATCAATCAAGATCAGTCCGAAATAACTAACTTAAATTAACCCTGCCGAGCCAATTAAAATCAGTAATAAGTAACTTCGTAATAAGTAACTCGATTCCATCGAATCGATCAAAGTTGTAATAACTGACTTAGATCGATTCCGTCAAATCGATCAATGCCAGCCCTCTCGTTGCCTTCGATCTATTCGCCTTGAACCGTGATTCAGGGTTTCATCCTGTCAGCGGCTAGAACTGTCCGACTTGTCTCTTTCTCGCAAATTCTCAACTTCGTAGCGGTCGTTAATAAGGATCTTGCGGATTCGGGATCTACTCTGCACCTGTTTAACGATTGCGTCCTAATCGCATGGATCTCGTCCCGCCGTCATTGTAGCTAATGCCTGTACAATCGTCCTGTTGTACCTTTCATATTGACCATTAGCTCGTGAGGTGGCAACGACGTAATACGTGCTTAATTCCCGTAGCTGTCACAAAATATGCGAAACGTTTAGATCGTAAACGTCCCTCTGTCGCTTATAATCTTGTTAGGAACTCCAAACAGATAAATAAAATCAGTTAATATTTTTATGACCTAACATGCTTTCTGACTTTTCACTTCCGTCCTTTTTATTGTCCTTAATTACATCTTGTCACATAAGCGACGCATTGGTGTGACTTTTCGATTTGAGATTATTATAATTCCGAGAGCAATGATTTCGATCTGAGTATTGTATCGTTAGCGAGGAGATCGCCGACGAAATTATTAAATCATATTCAATTAATAAGACCTCGTGTATTTCTCGGTATTTCTTCTGCGAGTTTTATGCGACTATCCATTACGTGTCATCCCGGCAATATTTCTTATACGAATATCTCGCATTTTAAATTATATTTTTTATTTTTTCGAAAAACCAGGATTGTATCACGATTCAAGATCATTCAATATATTTGATTTTATCTTATATAATAATCTAATAAGAATAATAATCTAACAAGAAAAAAAGTTCTGAAGTAGTGTTAATAACAGTAATAATAGTAATAACAATAATAACAGTAATAACAGTATAATTAAATGTGTTAACATTTCGCGGAGATATGTTATCTTAAAATCAGAGAAAAAAGACAAATATTTTTTATATTCGTTTCCGATAGCCGTTTTCTAATCATTTATTTCGTTGAAGTCTAATTGAGAATGTTCGATGCGTTGGAAAACAATTTATTGAAGTATTATCGAGAAAGATTTATCACGAGAGTTCTACAAATTGTGATAAAGATGTACTGATCTGCAAATACGGTATTATACACGCATACACGCATACACGCATACACACACACACACACACACACACACACACGTATATATATACATGGGTGTAATCAGGGTGGGGCAGGATGGGGCAGGGTGGGGCAGGACAGGGTACTTGTTCCATCTGACACAGAAAAGTAATTTAGAAAAGTAAAAAAAATGTAGAGATTTTGCGAAGATTAACGAAGATTTTAACATAAATATTAAATTTAAGTTCTTATATAAATAAATAAAAAGTTTAGTTGAAATAATAAAAAATTTTATTAGATTTTATTTGGTAAATTTTTGCCCTCCCCTAAATAAAATCTTGGCTACGCCCAAGTGTGTATATATATGTGTGTGTGTGTATACGTATAAGAATAAATGTGTGAAATAGATTCTGCCAGGAAATTCATTCTGCAAATAATAATACTGTATTTATTAATAAATATTGTTTGCCAAGAAAATGTTAAATATAAATTAAATATAAATATAAATATAAATTAATTCTGATTTCTTTAAATTAAACTCGTTATAATGGATGTTATCTATATACTTCACATATACTATCTATAGATAGATACACACATTTTATCTTGTTTCAAATGAATACGCAGAATCGATAAAAAGATGTTATCGAAATTGAAGCGAGGTCATTCAGAACGCTAAATCTGTATAAGCCTTCACAACTGGAGTATCTGTTTTTTTGCACAGTTTCTATCTTTACTTGACGGTAAAATATCCACTCTATCGATTTAATTCAGTTTAATTCTTAAATTTGTTCTATTTGTAAAATTTTATTTAAACCGATGACGTAGAAACACGTATATTGTTGCTTTGTTTTTAAATTGTTTTCACCTATTTTTATTCATTTTTTATACGAAGCATCTCTTTTTCCTTCTCTCTCTCTCTCTTTCTCTTTTTTTTCTCTTTTTCGTATATTTTAATCTTTTAGCTATTGTAAATATTATAATATGCAATATTATAATATGTTATCATAAAATCATACTTCCCTTAATGAGTGATTCTTGATATATTAAATTGTAATTTTTTTTTATATTTTACAATTAAAGAATAATCATTATTGATGGATAAAATGGAGCAGAATCCGCCGCCACCTGGTTTTGCCTCACCTCCATACACTCCATATCCGCAGCCACCACCACAACCACAGCCACCACCACAACCAAGTATGTATACATATAAGCAAAATGTTGGAAGTAAATTATCAAGTTTGAGCAGAAAATGGCACGGAGTGTCTAAGCTTGTATTTTGTTGATAAAATCTAACTAGACAGTAAATTGACGAAGCAGAAACAAATCAAGCATCAAATATTTATATGTATTGATTAAGATGTGTTTGGTCTTTGCCATTAATTTCTGTCACTATATTTTATTGAACTTTGTTAAATATTTCTGCCAGCATTTTATTAACAGCATTATATATCACATTTTGTATCAAATTTATAGAATCTATAGAATTTATGAAAATCTATAGTTAAAATTTGTATGATAGTTATTTTACAAGTTTTATTATCGACAAATTTGCTTCTCTGTCTATGAAATATAAAAATTTTAGTTATAAATTATTGAAAAGGAATAAACAATTTTTACTTGCTATGTTTTCTTAATAAAGATTTGAAATTTATAACTTTATAAAATTTAATATAATTTGATTAAATATAGGTGTCATTATAACGGCCGGAGCTTTTGGTCCACAATCGCAACATCTGACTTGTCCACACTGTCATGCTAATATATCCACACGCGTGGAAACGGAAGCGAACATGAAAACTCATTTGATCGCGCTGCTTCTTTGTGCTTTGGGGTAAGATTTTAAGATGTAACAGATCTTAATAAAAAAATGACAATATTAATCTCAAATATTTTCCAGACTCTGGTGTTGTGTACCATGTCCCTACTGTATGGACGGCTGTCTGGCGAAGAAACATTATTGTCCATCATGCGGTACTTATCTTGGAATATCCGAAAATTGACGAATTCTGAATTAGATAAGAATACAAAGAGATACTGTGGCATTATTGTCGACCAATATGTGTAGGATAAAAAAAAACAATTTGTGTATGCTTTAAAAAAATATCAATTATTTAAAATATCTTATGTTAGTTAAAATATATCGATATAAAAGTTTTGATTTTAAACAAATTTACATTGTATATTGTGAAAAACGAAACATATCGTTCTTACTTCTTTCTAGCAAACACGTATACACACACACACACACACACACACACACACACACACACACACACACACACACACACACACACATATATACATATTTATATCATTGTTATAAAATACAACGAAAGTAATATAATGTATACATTACATACAATGTATACTACATAATACTCATTGTATGGAACAGTTACATTCAATTTATATTGGTAATATTTTATGATCAGTAAATAACAAATCAATATATATATATATATATATATATATATATATATTGTTACAATATATATATATATATATATATTGATTTGTTATTTATATATGTATATTATATAATTGTGTTTTATAAATATATATATATATATATATATATATATATATATAACACAATTATATAAAATAAAATTATATAATTATAATATAAATAAGACATAACTTATGTAACAAAATACGGGTTAGCCCTTACAAAATAGTTATATTTTGTTTGCTGGGTTATTTTTCTAAATATAAGAGATTATGTACATATAATTTTTTATTATTGTTTGTCACATTTCATTGAAATATCTATAATTTTTTACTCCATAAATGTGAAAATGTAAGAAGCTTTAATACAATGATATAGTCAATTTTAAGGAATGTTTTTTTATTCATATAATTTTTTTATTCAAATGAACAAAAATATATCAAAAGAGTCTATAATATTTTTTATTTCTTTTCTATTTTCATTAGAATATTACACAACGCATTTGTTAAACGCTATTTATTTCCTTATTTTATGTATTATATTTAATAAACTACAATTTAAAAAATCCCAAATTTAAAAAGGAAATATTTTGGAAATATGAAAATTTAGCGTAAAATTTTATAATATTAAATTAATTCATATAAATAATATTTTTTAATCTCAAACTAAAATAAACTATTTAATTATTTAAATGAAACTTTAAATTAGATTTTATATGACATTTCCTCGATCATTAAAATTAATTTAAAATGCAAAAAGAGAAAAAATATTCAGCTTAAATTTATATTTTAAAATGTAAAATGTATTTCGAGACAATAACAAATTAATCGTCACACAGTCATCATTTGGTTATCGTTTTTTCAGCATATTATTGTTAAAATACGCAGTTATTCAAGTGAAAATACAGGCGCGATTCAAATAAGAGAACAATGTGTAATGCGAAATGCTCCATATATTGTTGAATTCGAAACGTTAAGATTCTAATATAATTGATTTTGTAAATCTAATTTTTACGAGCAACAATATTTTTTATATGTTTTTAAAATAGACATTTAATATTAAATTGCATAATTACCGAAAAAGTTATTTTTTGATATAAACTTTGGAAAATATAATTAATAAAAAGTTCTAATTGAACATAAAATATCTAAAAAATAAGAATATTATTGTATAAATATTTTATAAAATATTAAAATTGTTATATATACAAAAACATTAATTAATATAAAAATATTTTATTGTCGATAATATAAATATTTTAAGTAGTTTAAAATAAAATCTGGAATACTTTATGTTTATAGGCGCGTTTTATTATACAATAATTTAAAACGAATCATTGTAGATAAAATAAAAAAAGAATAAGAATATATTTAATTTGAAAATAAGATGATATATAGATGATAAATAATTTATACATTATTTACTGCATATCATTGTAAATTGCCTCTAACAATAAGATGATTTTTTTTCTCTTGTTCTTTGCTGTTTCTTCATAGTACTTCACTCGCGAAAACATGATCAATTATGATTAATTGCAAAACATTGCACGGCATTCTCGATCACCGAATCATATACACTAAATAATCATCCACTCTTTATTACATTATAAGAGAACAACATATGAAAAATATGATTGACGTTCTACACGAAGCTAATCATGCGTCATTCGTTACATCCATGCTAACTTTATTATATATTGTATATTATATTTTATATTGTATATATGTACATATACATGTAGTATCTGCATAAATTGTAAGATCAAAAGAAGGTGGTGAAAAATAGTGAGATATATCAATTTTTAAATTAATAATTAATATATGCTTATACACACACACACATTTTAGAAAAATTTAAAAAGCACGAGAAATACATTTAATTTTAAGCATTATTAGAGAAATAATTCTTATTCGTACGAATTAATAACTGAAATTGAAGGAGCATAACAAAAACTTATCATTTTTATATTTTTTGTTTTAATTTTTACTTATAATAATAAAATATCGTGCTTCAATTTATCGTCGCGATAATTTTTATCAATTATCAAAAGTTAATTAATTAAATTAAATTAAATTAATTGTCAATTAATTTATTAAATTAATTGTTAATTCTAATAATCATAACGAATTATATTTCAACATTTGTCACGCTCGTATTTAGGAAAAGAATTCGACATTTTATATGATATGAAGTTTTTCTTCAGCACTACTTTATTATTCAAGTTTGTCGTATGAATGATAACAAGGCCATGTAAACAATAACGTGTTACGTTATTGTTTACATGTACGTCGCTAAGACCGAACATCATTATTATTGATCATTATTGAAATATTTTATGTGAATTATGACATATACGTATACATATACATATCATATAGTTCTACATATACATTGTATGGGAAAAAGAAATAAAAATGATAAATTTTATTATGATCTTTCGATTATTGATTCTTACAGAAAATAATTATTACTTTAACAATACTTAGAATTAAATATATTTCATTTAATGTTTTTAAAATATTTCTCAAATGCAAGCATATATTAACTATTAATTAATTGTTACATTACTACTTTTCATCAATTCAATCTTTCGATCTTATGATTTATACGTATATTATATACATATATATTACACAATAATAACAATGTAATTTATAGTCCTAAGTATTTTAAAGAACAAATAAAAAAATTGATTGTAGGTAATTGGATTTATAAAATCAATTACAAAAAACTTTCATAAATATTTTAAAATATCACTCAATTTTTATATATATATAGTTGTTATAATTATATATATATATATATATATATATATATATATATACATACAAAGTATAATACATCTATTTTTACCTCATTTTTTTCTTTGATTTTAGAAGTATGTTATTGTTTGCCAAATTACTAATGTCTATTTAATTTTAATATTTATGAAATTTGTCTTTCACAAAAAAAATTTTTGTATAATTAAAAATCTAAATAAGATTGAATAAATGTCTTTTAAACATCTATTTAATTTTTTATTGAAATAAGGCAATATTAATCATTGTCTTTAATAATAACAGAACTTTCAAACAGGACTCTTTTTTTTCCTGAAAAAACTCACTGTTGCTATTTTTACTTATTTAAATTTCCTATTACTGTTAAACATTTTTTATATGAAGAATTTTATACTCACATGTATAAGCGCTTCGTAAAACTACTTTATACTATAAAATTTTATTTTACTACTTTATACTATAAAATTTTATTTTAAACCAAACTTTTTCATGATATGACACACATGCATACATAATCAAGAGCACTTTAAAAGGACAATGATAGTGTACTGCTCGATGTCACGAATGACAATAAAATAATCGCGTCAAGCTGTCTAAAAATCTATAATCGCGCGTGCACCAAGGTGAGAAAAAAGAAGGGTGTATTATTTCTCCCGTATCCTGGGAAAACTACACCTGAACACGCTATTTCGATAATATGACATGTTATTTTGATAATTGAACTTCATAATGTTTCCTTCAATGCAATAAAAAACACGAACAATCAATTAGCTTCCCCAACTTCTTTCTTTGGAGGGTAATATAAATATTCCCTTGATTACATACTAGCGAAATATTGTTTTAAAAGTTATTACTTATAGCAGAAATAGTTGGTTACATCATTTTGTTGGAAAGCGTCTATTAAACTGTGTTTCGATATAATTGTATTTTTTCTTATTTTCGATATGTCTTCGAATCGTTGTGACACAGACTTTACCGAGAATCGTTATTACAGAATAAATCAAATATTTCTTTCGATGCTCAATCTGGGGCCATATCGACAGTCAAAATTTGCGAAAATTAATAGTGTTTTCCATTTTGCTATACTGCTGTCTTATGCATCAGTTCAGGTATTAATAATAATTTTTTCTAAATATTACATATATAATATTTATGAAAATAAAAAGAAAATTTAAAGTGTTTCATATAATACGTATATATATATATATATATATACACATATGTGTGTGTGTGTATTGTATGAAACACTTAAAATTTTTTTTTCATTTCTATTAATCTATTCATTTTATTAATCTACTCATCTTTTGTGTCAACAAAATAAAATTCGGGTATAATTAACTATTAATTTATTGCTAAATTGTTACTCTACTTTCTTGAATTTATTATTCCTAAACCTATTGTCTCCTGACTTATTTGGTATAAAATTTATGTAAAAAATAAAGCTATTTTAATTACATTAACACTTTCACTTTAGATTTATAGCAAATGGTACAAAAATTCAGAATTGCTAATTAATTGTATTATCACAGATATTATTAATAGATTATAAATGGATTATAAAAATATTTTTATATGTGTACTAATACAGAGAATATACTATAATATATAATAATAAAATATATTCACAATAAAAATTTAATTTATATTATTTTTTTAATAGTTTGAAATCGCACAAAATAATATATTAATCACATGAAATCTCATATTAATTACATTTGTTACATGATTATAGTTCTGTTATAATATTCTGTATAATATTCTATTAGGAATTATTATCCAAACACTGTTATATACTTATAATTTTCCATATTACATTTGCAAATGTTTTTTCCAACTTTTACTGTCAATTCCTTTCTTAAGTCTAATCTAAATGTTTTTGTTTTG